ATGAACTCAACCTCGCAGTACATACGATTATGAGCGAGTACTATGTGTACTGCATCGGCAAACTCAGAAGCCGTACCGAATGTCCGGCGACATAGTTATTTTTAATAAAACTTGGTCTTGCTATAATGTGTAACTGTTATAATACGCTTATTGCCGTATAATGCAATACCAATAAAACACAGTGTAATAGCATTCAACACATACTACAATATTTCCGAATATATGAAAAAAGATACAACGTTGAATTATAAAGCCTACGAACTGTCTGTCAAGATAGTATATAATCACTAACATCCTACAGATTCAAAGGAATTCTCGATTATTGTTAATAAGATTTCAGCTTACTACGAGTATATGTGTAACTATTATAATATGTTGATTGTCTTATAAAATAACATCAACAATATAAAATGTAATAGTATTTAACTCATACTATACGTAATAGTATTCTGAAATATAGAAATAGGTAGAGCGTAAAAATTCAAAGCCCGCGACTTATAAACATTGTCTATAAACAATCACAACCTACAGATTCAGTTAAGTTATCGATCGTTGTTGATAAAATTTGAATTTACTATATGTGTAACTGTTATAATACGCTAATTGCCGTATAATATAATACCAATAAAACACAGTGTAATAGCATTCAACACATACTATAACATTTCCGAATATATAAAAACAGATACAACGTTAAATTATAAAGCCCACGAGAACTGTCATCCTACAAATTCAAAGGAATTATAGATTATTGTTAATAACTTACTACGAGTATATGTGTAACTATTATAATATGTTGATTGTCTTATAAAATAACATCAACAATATAGAATGTAATAGTATTGAACTCATACTATACGTAATAGTATTCTGGAATATAGAAATAGGTAGAGCGTAAAAATTCAAAGCCAGCGACTTATAAAAACTATCTATAAGCACTCAAAATGTAAAGATTTAGTGAAGTTATCGATCGTTGTTGATAAAATTTGAATTTACTATATGTTATATGTAATGCATTCATCAAATCGGTATGCCTATATGGAACAGACCCCTGGCTTGCTAACTCCTATACCGAAAGTAGACTGCAATCATTTATCGATCGTCACCTGCGTAACATATTAAGCATATGGTAGCCTAAAACGATTTGAAATGAAGAGTTATGAAGAGTAACACATCAAACAAACGTAAACAACAAGATAAGAAGAAAGAAGTATGGTTGGATTGACACAAATAATCACATTCTTTCTAACTTCCTGGCTAACTGTGGCAGAAGTTATTTTTCCAGTGTAACATCAGAAACTCTTCAACAAAGTATATTATGGTCTTCATTCGATTATAAATAGTTGCAAAATAAAAAATCTGGTGGCTGCAGTGGTCCAGTGATCATAAACTACGATCATATGCTAATTCGGAATGCAGATTATGCCTTGAAGATGAGGAAACTACTATGCATATTCTTATGACTGTTCAGCTTTAACACAATGCACAGAAGAAACTTATTTCATATGGAATTTCTATCACCAGAACAGATTAAGAGCTCTTCTCTAGATTTAGTTCTGGACTTTGTTCACAAGTCTTTATTTACAAGTCAATAGTGATATTGACTGCCCAAACCCAATAGGCGCAATTGGAGTCTTCTGGCCTCAGTACTATCTGTTGGGCGATTTCACGTCAATAATTTTATTAAAAAATAATAATAACATGTTAGGAACTTTAAGCTTGTTTAAGCTTGTTGACTAAATATTTACTCAAGCAATCATTGGACTTGCTCTGTGCCGTGAATTTAGTTTAATTCGATCAAGGACATATGTACTTTTTAGATATTCTAATATTTACTTCAAACCTTCACAAAATTCAGACTCGAATCTGATGATTTATAATTTAATATTTTGCGATAAGAGATTTTTTTTATTGCTTTCATTTAAATTCCGCATTGGAACCTTTATATACTATGAAAATAAAAATATATAATCTGTTACATTTGCAAAATCACATATTGTTATATGCATTAAAAGCATAATAAATAAATTTCATTCTAGTACAACTAATCATGGACCACCAAGAATGTAAAACACTTAACCAAAAATTTCTCCGCCAGAGTTTTTTTCTCTCTGTCTTTCTCTTTGTCTCTCTCTCTCTCTCTCTCTCTGTAGTTTACCACTACAGATGTTTTACATAATCTTAATCAGTGATTCTATTTTGTTCAATATTTTAATTAAATATTAAATAAAATGCTAGAGAAGATGCTTCGTTCATATGATTACCAAGTAATACCTTTTGTCAGTAAAGCAGAGCTGCGCTTACTGCCATGTTACCTTATTGACGCTATCATCTGAAAATTTGGTTCAAAGATAACAAAATATCGTCTACTACTGGATGAGGAGAACACAAATAATCACATTCTTTCTAACTTTTTGGCTAACTGTGGCAGAAGTTATTTTTCTAGTATAGCATCAGAAACTCTTCAACAAGGTACATTATGATCTCATTCATATAGCATTGCGGCATCTGTTTGGTTATAAATGGTAATATTCGAGCTAGTCGAAGATATTCAATATTCAAGATATTGTCGAAGATATTTGAGGTATTCAAAAATATTCGAGCTCGTCGAATATATTTGAGCTGGTCGAAGATATTTCAGCTGGGCGAAAATATTTCAGCTAGCCGAAGATGTTTGAGCTAGTCACAGATATTCTAGCTAGATGAAGATATTCGAGCTAGTCGAAGATATTCGAGCTAGTCAAAAATATTCGAGCTAGTCGAAGATATTCGAGCTAGTCGAACATATTCGAGCTAGTCGAAGATATTCGAGCTAGTCAAAAATATTCGAGCTAGTCGAAGATATTCGAGCTAGTCGAAGATATTCAAGCTAGCTGAATATATTTGAACTAATCGAAGATATTTCGGCTGGGCGAAGATATTCCAGCTAGTCGAAGATATTCGAGCTAGTCGAAGATATTCGAGCTTGGCAAAGATATTCGAGCTATTCAAAAATATTCGAGCTCGTCGAATATATTTGAGCTAGTTGAAGATATTCGAGCTAGTCGAAGATATTCGAGCTAGTCGAACATATTCGAGCTAGTCGAAGATATTCGAGCTAGTCAAAAATATTCGAGCTAGTCGAAGATATTCGAGCTAGTCAAAGATATTCAAGCTAGCTGAATATATTTGAACTAATCGAAGATATTTCGGCTGGGCGAAGATATTCCAGCTAGTCGAAGATATTCGAGCTAGTCGAAAATATTCGAGCTTGTCGAAGATATTTGAGGTATTCAAAAATATTCGAGCTCGTCGAATATATTTGAGCTGGTCGAAGATATTTCAGCTGGGCGAAAATATTTCAGCTAACCGAAGATGTTTGAGCTAGTCACAGATATTCTAGCTAGATGAAGATATTCGAGCTAGTCGAAGATATTCGAGCTAGTCAAAAATATTCGAGCTAGTCGAAGATATTCGAGCTAGTCGAACATATTCGAGCTAGTCGAAGATATTCGAGCTAGTCAAAAATATTTGAGCTAGTCGAAGATATTCGAGCTAGTCGAAGATATTCAAGCTAGCTGAATATATTTGAACTAATCGAAGATATTTCGGCTGGGCGAAGATATTCCAGCTAGTCGAAGATATTCGAGCTAGTCGAAGATATTCGAGCTTGGCAAAGATATTCGAGCTATTCAAAAATATTCGAGCTCGTCGAATATATTTCAGCTAACCGAAGATGTTTGAGCTAGTCACAGATATTCTAGCTAGATGAAGATATTCGAGCTAGTCGAAGATATTCGAGCTAGTCAAAAATATTCGAGCTAGTCGAAGATATTCGAGCTAGTCGAACATATTCGAGCTAGTCGAAGATATTCGAGCTAGTCAAAAATATTTGAGCTAGTCGAAGATATTCGAGCTAGTCGAAGATATTCAAGCTAGCTGAATATATTTGAACTAATCGAAGATATTTCGGCTGGGCGAAGATATTCCAGCTAGTCGAAGATATTCGAGCTAGTCGAAGATATTCGAGCTTGGCAAAGATATTCGAGCTATTCAAAAATATTCGAGCTCGTCGAATATATTTGAGCTAGTTGAAGATATTCGAGCTAGTCGAAGATATTCGAGCTAGTCGAAGATATTCGAGCTAATCGAAAATATTCGAGCTAGTCGAAGATATTCGAGCTAGTCGAAGATATTCGAACTAGTCGAACATATTCGAGCTAGTCGAAGATATTCGAGCTAATCAAAGATATTCGAACTAGTCGAACATATATGAGCTAATCAAAGATATTCGAATCAGTCGAATATATTCGAACTAGTTGAATTTATGTTGAAAATGAAGTTTCATTACCACTTTAAATGGGAATGCGAGTTTCTATAGTTTTTTTATCTATAAGTCAAATTAAGGAAAAATCAAACAATCTAACATAATATTAATAATCATTTATTTACTGTAACGTCAAAACATACGCTTAATACTAAAACATATTTACAAATCTTTATACTTTTGTTTGAGTTTTAACATAAAATTTTATTTTTCAAAAATAATAAATGTAGTTTAAATAAAGCTTGTAAGCCTATAGATAAAAAACTGAACCATATATACATTTAAATCTTCAGTAAACTCAAAAATGCTCTGATGTCGGCAATATTAAAGCGAGTTTCTTTCGTTTGCATTTAAATGGAAGGAACAATGGACGTTTTCAAACTAATTTTCAAGTTTTCGATTTACTATTATTAATATTTTATGTATTGTATAACGGTTTACAAGGCCAAAGTATAATTTAACAAATTTTCTTAATATCATTTCTAGCTGCATCGAAACAACAATTTAAAATTATTTAACAAACTCTACATGAAACGGGAATACAGTAGTTCACAGTCCACATTAGTTAGTTAAAATATTGAAATACATCATCTTGTGCTTTCTTAATTCAAACATTTGCATTTGTATTTGCGTAATATATTATAATAACGACAGACTAAAATGTCATTAAAAAACCATTGTTGTTATTATTTCTAAAAAATGTCTTTAATATTTCCAACTATTTCTAAATTTTTTCTGTAATGCAGACTAAATAATAATAATAGTGGGTGCTCACGAACTCGAATAACGAGTTCAATAACCAAGTAACATAATAACAGTGCAAAATGCAATGTATTTTATTGTTGTCGAACTGCATTGTTATTACATTATTACGTTACGTCGGCTGCCAAGCTCAAGATCAAGATCGTGAGTACCACTTATGTATATCTATAATACTACAGACCCTCGACGAAGGGACGTACAATTTTGCCTTCAACTGATTTCTACATAATCCAGTTTCAGTACTGAAATTGTACTTTAGTGAACAGTAATCAAGATAGTTAAGATACGGTGATAAGCGTTTGACTAAGGTACTCAAGCGGTTTATATAATTTTCTGTAATGCTTAAAAGCAACTTCTAACTATAAACTAAGTTTAGTTTAATAGAAGTATAACTGAACTCTCTAAAAGTAAAATACAGATGAAATAACAGAATATTTCACTAAGCTCAATATAAAGTATGCGAGGTTCGTAATTTCGTGAAAGTTAAGAACAAAATTTTAACTATGTAATCCTTCGACACAAATATAAGACAGAGAAGTGGAATTAACATCAAGAATAATTCATACTTAAGTTAGGTTGAGAATGTATCTTAAATTTGTTTCGATAGCTTCAATAACTTAGAGTATTTTTATTATTTACATATAATAATTTCGATGTTTCTTAAAAGTTTCCAGTATTTGCATGGTGTGTTGTGCTTGATGTTTGCGTTGTATTTGCAGTTGACGTTGAAGTGGATGATGCTGCTGCGGAAGCTATCGATGACATTTGAGTTGTTTTAACTGTCGGCTTAATATCTTCGATTTGAATCAATTGTTCTATTGGAATTAAAGAAAGTTCACCACCATGCTGTGGCATCGGAGGAAGTCTAGCCAAGGCCTGGTATATCAAAAAAGAGATGGAACGGTGTCAATCATGTATTTTAATAATAACACTTATTGTAAATAAAAATATATAAAAACATAAATTTGATTTGATTTTGCCGAAAGATCAATACAAACTTTAAAATGCTCAAAGTATTCGAACTACTCGAAGGTATTCGAACTACTTGAAAATACCCGAGCTACTCGAAAAAGTTGGAAGATATTCAAGCTAATCGAAGATATTCGAGTAAATCGAAGATATTCGAGCAAATCAAAGATATTCGAGCAAATCGAAGATATTCGAGCAAATCGAAGATATTCGAGCAGATCGAGGATATTCGAGCAAATCGAAGATATTCGAATTAGTCGAAGATATTCAAGCTAGTCGAAGATATTCGAGTAAATCGAAGATATTCGAGCTAGTCAAAGATATTCAAGCTAATCGAAGATATTCGAATTAGTCAAAGATATTCGAGCTAGTCAAATATATTCAAACTAGGGGAAGATATTTGAGCTAATCGAAAATATTCGAGCTAATCGAAGATATTCGAGCTAGTCGAAGATATTCGAGCTAGTTGAAGATATTCGAGCTAGCCGAAGATATTCAAGCTAGGCAAAGATATTCGAGTTAATCGAAAATATTCGAGCTAATCGAAGATATTTGAGCTAGTCGAAAATATTCGAGCTAATCGAACATATTTGAGCTAGTCGAAGATATTCAAGCTAGGCAAAGATATTCGAGTTAATCGAAGATATTCAAGCTAATCGAATATATTCGACCTAGCCGAAGATATTCGAGCTAGTCGAAGATATTCTAGCTAGATGAAGATATTCGAGCTAGTCGAAGATATTCAAGCTAAGCGAAGATATTCGAAATAGTCGAAGATATTCGAGCTAATCGAAATTAGGTTAAAAATGAAGTTACATTACCTTGGCGTGTTCCACAGCAATTATAGCCGCTTTCTCAGCTTCGCGCTGACGTCTTTCTTTAAGTTTAAGGGAAAATATAGCTACAGACCGAGCACTTTTCACCAATTTCTGTTTTAATCTTGACTTTTTGGCTGCTAGCTCTGCTGCTATAGTACAAAAAATAATTTTTTTAAAGTATACATAAAAAGAGTCAAATTTTATATTTTATTAAACCTTAAAGAAATATTATAAAAAAAAAACTATTATTTTATATAATGGCATAAGTATAATAAAAACCTTTTGCTTCATCTTCAGTTGTAGCACTGCTTGTTCCTGCGTTACTGGTTGCGTTTTTGCCGGCACTTGAAGTTGAGGCTTGCTCTTTATCTGCTTCTTTTTGATGATGAGAATGATGGTGCCATGAACTTGATGATGATGTTGAAATTCCACTTACACTTGGTCTAGATGCCGATGTTATTATATTGTTTTCTGCTAATCTTCCAGTAGTATTGCCAACTCCTGTGCCACTACTGCCAGCACTTCCTCCGCCGCCGGATGACGATGATGATGAGGCGGCTATTTGTTGCGGTTGAACGGCGGTCTTTACAGCAACGTTACTCCAAGATGGCGCGGGCTTTAAAATATCCATTGTATCGGTATTACTGGTCAACTCCTTCTTATACATTATGGAAAATATGATCGGGTAATAGTTTTAATCACAGGTGCAAAAGTATCAAAAATCAAGTGCTCAGTATTTGGCAGTGTCACGATATTAATTGTTGAAGCCGAATAGTGATATATATTGTACATGAAACATAAATATATTATAATTGCGGAATAGTGTTTCAATTAGTGTTGGTTTCCACAGTGCAGCAATAATTTAAGCGTAAAATATAAATACAGTTAATATACATTTTAAGTATCTTAGTCTAAATTGATTATTTCATAAACACTTAAAGCAATATAAAGCCTCTTCTTTACGCAAATTTTAAAACCAAATCATCTTAAATTTTTAAAGCATAAATATAGTTTATAAACCCTTTAAAAGTTAACATGCATTAAAAAGCATCAATTTTAAAAATTTTGAAAAACTTGGGTTAAGTTTTCATTAAAAGTATAATTACAAATGTTTCGGGAAGTATTAAACTTAAAATAAATACTTTAATTTTGAAAAATGAATTTAATTCAGTTACGAAGAAAAATATAGTATTTCTCTTATTACACCTTTACAGCTAACCTCTATATTCTGAAACTCCATCTAAGCTATAATTGACAGTCTTTTACAACTTATCACAAACAATAACAATTTTTTTCAACCAAAAGTTATCTTTAATCTTGCCGTAGCACTATAGATCTCATAGAACCCTTCTAAAAATTGAACTTGTCAAAAATGAAATACACTGCAAAATTTACTAAAAAAATTGTTTACGGCAAAACCACAAATTTATATATAAAATCAATAGTTCCATCGCTATATAAAAATCAATTCCTATCGATATAACTGTTGATAAAAATCCTTTATTCATTTTAGTAACCTAACCTATTAAAGTAAACAAATTAAATAGCATAAATATTAAAACATATATCTAAAACATTTGCATTTGCAACTACAATATCCAAATCTAAACCGATCACCTCCAGTTTACGTTATAATTTGTACTATACATAGACACGTAGCCATGGCAAGGTCTAAAGAACTATACTTCCTCCGATTTAAATCTCAATAAGTTCTACATTAAAAATCAAGTATAAATCTAGTTATGATAGACTAACGCATCCACTGACATTATGAGGGTTTAGAAAAACTATACTGATGGAACGTCTTTTCTGGCACTGAAGTACCTATTTCTCACGATGTTGCCTATTCTATTAAATCAATAGCTAGCGTTGAGAAATTGTATTATGAAAACGATTTTTTAGTTTATAAAAAGAATAAAAATTACCAGAATATGTAATTTTTCAAATGTGACCTCCAAGCTGCCGAAGTTAAATTGTGCCAACGGATCTGACAGTTATATATGTTTACATTTTTACAAATAGATCTAATTTGTTAAAGTAATAAATTTATCTTAAATGTGTTCACAAATAAATCAGTGAAATCTAAATCCAAATCTAAATCCATCTAAATAAAATTTGTTAAGTATACTGAAATTCTCTATATATAATAAATATATGTTTAATTTCATTTTCAATGGATAATAGAAAATAATCCAACGATTTTGAACATCGCCTAGATATATTTGGGCACTCATCTGTTGCAGACGCTAAGAGTTAAATTTTTGTTGTAACAGAAAAAGAGCAAAAGACAAACGTTGGCTGTCTCATCAAGCTGATCAAGAATATATATACTTAACAGACTATGTATTATATTTGAACGATTAACTTTTATAGATATTCGAAAACTATATGCGATTCGCACTGAGAATCGCAGAAAAACTATGAAATAAATCAAATAAATAAAAAATTTTTCGAGTATTCATTGGGATCATTGTAGGGTCTAACAAAGGTGGATATTTCACGATGCCAAACAAAAACGAATCGTACGATATGCGTTAAACTTTGACAGAATGTGTATAATAGTGTTGCCAGCGTGAAAATAAAAAAAATTTACCGATTGGATAAGCGTGGAAATTCAAAAATAGGCCTCTTGTTCTTTTTTGATCAGAAGGTATGTAGATCAATTGTTAAATGGAACAATATAAATGTATCGAATTTTACGAACAATTTCTCACAATGACTTTAAGTAGTAGTTCACAGTGTTAGTACTACAATACTTACGGAGAGATATTATAAATAAATTACATCTATCTAAACTGCATTCAATAATTCTTATTTAATAACGATTTGCTAAAACTGTAAACTGTCCAAAAAGTGTAAATCAATCTGTACATACATTAATAAAATGAAATTAGCCAATCCCAATAAATTATTCCCATTATATATAGTATATATAGTATATATGTTTTTTTTTTTTTGAAAACTTTTCAAACTGTTAAAATATGTTTAATAATAATGCGGTAACCAATTTTTATGGTAGCAAAAAAAATGAATTTCAAAAAAAAAAAAAAAAACAATAGATGGTTTAACACACACACATATATATAATTTATATATATATTTTATTAATTGTTTTGTGAGTTTTTAAATACATAACTACATACATACAAGTATTTCTAGTTTGTTTGAGTGCTATGTATATATGTTATAAAGAGAGGCTTCAATTTTATGACGGTTATATACATTTATATTTGCAGCAACACATGTAACTAAATTAAATTGAATACATCCGTTTTGCAGAAACTTTAAATGAGCACATAAACGAGAAACTCTAAAAAAACTCCTCTAAACTTTAAGAACCAAAATATTTAATGAAATAACCAAAAACTACCTTTGCTATACAATCTATACTCCTATGTAGATTGATACCGTCGTTGACTTTCAAACGTGACATCCACTCAGGAGCATGTGGTTTTATGGATTGCTTGTCCTTAGTAAAGATGCAAACATTTAGTCAGAAAGGAACAAGCGGTACGAAAAGATCAAGCAAATTAAACAACAACAAAACAAACTATAAACTAAAATATATAAAATAAATAATGAATAATATTAGATATTAAATATTGACTACAAATATCCAATACTGCTCTTTGATATGTTCTTCGAAGGATAAGTAAAGTAATTTCTTGGAAAAAACTAATTAAAAGATTGCTTCAAACCTTTTAAGAAAATAAAATTATTTCAACTATTGTTGAACTTTAGTGCTACAATAGTTTTTAACTTACCATAACTAACTTCATTATTTATTAAATTTTTATATAAGTATTATTTTTTAACAGTCCACAATGTAGGGTCCTAACCACTAGACCATCATCAGATCTTGCAAAATGAAAGATGGTAGTGCAGAAGCAGGAATTATCGAACCGAAATTCCGCAAAGCAAATGCAATGGAAAAACCCGCTTCCATTTTTTAGGCAGATGTCTACACTTTAGAGCTATGTGCGAGAGCTATGTGCCTACGCAAAGGCACCCAAGGAACCAAACTATGCATTCTTTCATACAGTCAAGCAGCTATAAAATCTTTAACAAACCCCTCATCCAAAGTTGGTCTGAGAATGTTTTCTACTTCTCAATACTCTAGCATCGATCAACTCTGTTACACTTAAGTCGGTACCGGGACATGAAGGTCATGAAGACAATAAAATAGCAGACTTCATAGCATAGAAAGGTGCATGTACTCCAGAGTCCTTCTGCGAGGTAACAAATAGCTTATTATGTAAACGGTAGAAACAAAATCTACTTAAACACTGGAGAACCCAAACAGGTATGCGGCAGTCATGAAGATTAATTTATACTGAACACATCATAGTTGATGCTATCCTTAATCTTAGCAAAAACGATATTAAAATCTACAATGAACTTGTCACACGACACTGTAGGCTCATTAACCACATGAAAAATTTAGCTGTGGTAGAAATTGATTCCTGTCCATTCTGTTATAAGAAGAAGGAAACATCAGAACATAAAAGAATAAAAAAATTTTTTGCAACAACACTCAATTTGAATAAATTTTAATAAGCTAATTAGTTAAATGCAGGAAACTCTTGTTTTAACGAATCCTCTAAATATCGAAGGATCAAATACTTGTAGGTAACAAACATTACGTACGATCGCTCTTTGGTCCCTCTTTGTTGCATATAAAATGCTTTTAAAATATTGAAAAGCCTTGACATTGTATCTTTCACCGACACTAACAGTCTACTGAATATGTAAATTTAACAGGTGTCAATATGTTTCAAAATTATTAAACCTGAACTTAATATTGACTCTCCCAAAAAAAAACTAGAATCAATCTCAAGAAATAAGGTACGAATACTTATCTCAAAAAAACGTTATATAATCAAAACAAAAAACAAAATCCATTTTAAATAAACACGAACTGTAATTTTCGCCTAAGATACCATTGCGTACAGCCCTTGACTATGGGTCTGTACAAAAGAAAAATTGGATTTATTGGAACTTTTACCAAGACATGTTATAATTCGTGTCACAGACGTAAAATATCGAAATAATAACATATTTAATATCGTTCAATCGCTAAATATTCTAAATTTGAGATTCTAAATTTGAGATATTCTAAATTTGAGAATAGATGCAATCTTCTAATAACACTATATCTTTCGTTCTCTTTTCCAGACATCAATTAAACACCATCAATTAAATTAAATTGTCATTATTAAATTGCAACTAGTAACAGTGAACATATTTAGAAACGACGCTCATCATTTAAGCATTGATCCATTCATACAAATAATAACAATAATACTTTCTAATAGATGTAAAATTAGAGGTGTAGCCAGAATTTTGTCAAAGGATTTATTAAATATGTTTTATAAACAAAATTTTATGCCATTGGTAAGGGTAGAGTTGATGTTGACAAAAAGGTCTATAAAGTAAATAGAGGGGGGTTAAATAATTGTATAGTCATTTATAACAAAAAAGGGATTATAATTGAAGGTCTGTAAAGGGCGTTCCTATATAAACGGATATTTTTAGTGGGACCACCTATTGGTCACTTTTATTCTATTTTATTTTGTAATGAAATTTTGACAGTATAACAATCAAGTGTATATTTTCAACATATTTTTGATCACCGATAGATACTTTACAAGTAACTATTTTTGAAAAGTTCTTTACTTACAAACCGGTCTTATATGTCCAATTAGTTAGCAGTATTTTTTGACGTAATCTTCATGTAAATATGTGGAAAAGTAAAGCAAAATACTACTTGTTTTTTTTTCACTATTGAATTTATTTTATTTAATCAAATAAATTTTAAAAACCAACTAACTATAGAAAGTTAATAAGCAATATTGATCCGATACTACCTGTTGAAGCAAAAATGTAGTTTTAGATTTATCGAAATTTATCACCCTTCACCCAAGGTTTTTAAACGAAGCTTAATAATATTTTAGGTTTAAGTGTATAACAATTAAATTTGTTGGAAATCTCTTACTTTTCATATTCTATACAACTGCTCAGCAGTGGCAAGATGTAGACTTGATTACCTTGAAAGCGGGATCTTAGACCCAAATCAAACAGATTAAATTACGCTCAGAGCAATTACGAGATTTATAAATAGTCTAGAATTGTTTTAGTTGGGCCCTTAGGCACATTATAGATATTTAAGGTCGGGGTGCATTCATAGCCTATTATTTAATAATAATAATACCTATAGCTATATCAAAACCTTGACCAATATATTAAGGTCTATTCCCACAAAATAGTAAAAGATAGATACCAGTGGCAATCTTAAAAACATAAAGATGGAGCTCACTTAGGCGCTTAGTGTGAACCTATTGTGATACCACAAATATGTCAGTCCCGTAAAGTGTTCCAAATCTAACCTATCATAGCCTAAGAAAGCAATTTGCGATTTTAATGAAATTAAATGAAATAAGACTTTAGAAAGTGTTTTCTTAAGTGAATAAATTATGGAACTATGACAGATCAGTTGAGTAAACACTTTTCTTTCTCCTCTAATTCACAACTACGTAAGTATTCATGCAAAAAAGACTTTTACCGGTAGGTATAGCTGTCAATAAGACAGTATTCTGTCAGTAATTGGATCAATCTTCACTCAAAACGTTAATAAATAAAAGTGAAAACTAAATTTTGATCAGAAAAAGACCATGAGTACTTTGGATTATATGGATTAATATGCTATTTTGTTTTATTCTATCAAATGCTTAACATTAAAATCAAGAAAGTATGTTCTGACAAATTTTGTTCAGAAAAATTCTATCTAATAATTTTCAGGTATATAGAATATATTGGTTAATATTAGAGTTATTCTATCAAATATTTAGCATATAAATCGAGTATAGTGTATCGAGTATAGATTAATATCATTAGAAGAGCTCAGAAATGGTGCACTTTATTTACTTCGAAACAGACATATAGTGAGATATAGAGTTCTTTATCGCAACACAAACATCTAAACAAAACGTTTTATTGATACATATAAGTATATATTCAGCTCAGAAAGCACCAAAAATTTCTAATTTAAAATTAACGTGATCTACAATATTTTTCTCCCAATTTTAAGCATTGTTGGCAGCTCCCACGTCAATTTTTGAAGCCGTTGAATTAGATTAGATTTAGATTCAATTTACAGTGAACGAAGTTGTAGACAAAATATTCATAAAACACATCTTTACGGATGTACAGTTATAGGTAAATGAATCTGATATCAAAATAAGTCAATTATCATTGAAGTGGCATTTTGAGTCTAAACGGAAAAATTTTATTCAAAAACTTGCGTAAAATGAGTTTTGTATAAATGTTCCTACATCTATGAATATATCAGTTAGTTGCATCACAAAATCCTGATACTTTTTGAACTGAATATAGTATTGAGCTATTTGTAGTAATATATTGGATATTTATAGCTTAGTTCTCTATAAGTAAGTATGTTTTTAAAGAACCCTTATTACAATTAAGCAATACATTTTAGCAAAATTAGTATTTGTACAAATATGTGATATATGTTTTGCGAACAAATCAAGTACTTTGGTTTTTCATTTTTGTTATTATTTTAATGTGATAGATATATAATATACGTTTTTATGATTGATAAGTTTATATAGCTGTCTTAGGAATTTTCTATAATCTTACGCTTATGTGCAAGTGTGTTGCACTTTCTGCCGATATTTTGCGTGGTTTGTAAGGCGGTATTTCCGGTATTTTTGATGGATGCTGTTGAGGAGGTGGTGTTAATATAAGTTGACGTGAGCGCTGTGGACTACTGCTAGCGCTACTGCCAGTATGTTCAGCAGAATCGTTTGACTTTTTCCTGAATGGTGGTATTTCTGGTATATGCAAGGGCTGGCGGGAAGTAGGAGCTAGAATACTAGCACTGCTTGCAGAAACGCTAATTTAGGATGGAGCAGGATTTTAAATAATCGAAATGAAGAGTTTTTTTTTTAAAAAAAACGTGTTTGGGGGGTATGGATAGGAGTTTTTATATTGGAGAAATGTAAAACATTAACAGGTACGGATAAAATATTGGAAAACAAAAAAAAAATGTGTAATATAATAATGTATATAATACATTATGTTATTTTAATGAGGAGTAAAAGGTAAGAGAAAAATTTTCCATTATTATAATTAAAAGTTTGGTTTCATTAAAACTATTTTTAAAATATGAAACTATTTACATAATATTATTATTGTAAATAACAAAAGTATACATGCACACTGAAAATACACTATAAGTAATATATCGAGCAAATTTATGTATTTATCTAAAATAATATACAATTTTAAAAACGATTTTAAATTAAATATTAATTAATTTGTAAAATGGACCTCACATACAAACACAATTATAATTTTCTAATTATATCTCAAGCCAATTAACGATACAACTAAACATCACACTACATATATAGACTACAAATATATTACCCTGAAAAAGCGTGCATTCTTTGGTTTGAGCTTAAATTACGAACTGAATATCCATGAAATGAAGGAATTTCCGGTATTTTCATTTTCAGCTTACAACTTTTACATGCGCTATTAAAAAGGATTTTTTGAAATTTTAAATTTAATAAAAAACTTAAAAACAATGTACTTAATAATACAAAAAATACTCATAGCAAAAAAAAAATAATATTCGGTTTACAACATCAACAGGTTTCTCTTTAATAACCTTGAGCAAGATTGGTGTATTATATGGTAAAGATTCCAGTCCCACTGGAAATTTGTCCAATGGAACCGTACCATTATAAAAACCAAATTAGAATATGCTACGATATTTAGTAATCTTTTTAGTACTCTATGTGGCTTTGAACCAAAATTATTTAATATTAAGTTCGTATTAAGAGTATAGCTGTACCCCCCCGTATACGACACCATTAACTCAAGCGTCAAATGAATGTTGGTATTCTTAACAGAGACGTAATTTAAAATTTTGTATTACTCCATGATCACAACTAAAACTGATACTTTTATAATATTTTTTTAATACATATTTCAGTTCTTCCCATGATATGTACGATATACGTTTTACGTTGAAGTTGGAGTTGGCTTGGCAACTCTGGCGATAAAACAGGGCGTTAGGTTTGTTAGATACTTTTATTCTGCTGTTATGATAAGGATAAGGACAATTTTTAGTAAAATTATTTTAATCAGCTTAGCTCTATTTTTGGTATCGAAAAGCAAGTTTTTTAATTGACATGAAGCCCATTCAGCCCATCAATATAAATATTGGCTGAAAAATGATACGAAGTACAGTAGAATCTCGAAGAAGTTAACCGAAATGTCCCAAGAGTAATTAACGAAATCTAATTAAATCTCTCGTCGTAAACACTGTTTGATTTAATCAATTTAGACAACGGAATATCGTCTTCACTATCCTATTGATCATCATCCTTCCTGACGATAAATATCAAAACATATTTTTGAAACTCAAAACAAGAGAAAAATTCAGGGAATACCCATAATCAAAATTAGAGCTCGCACTCAGAAAAGCTAACTCAAAAGTTAACTTTTTAGAGCAATACGGAAGTTAACTTTTCCACGATTCTATTGTATATTGTTTTATTCGTAACAGAATCTTATTTTCCGTTCGTAACGCAACAAAATTTATAAGCTAAGTCGAAAAAAAATCTTAGTTTATAATTGATATAATAAAAACAATCTAATATCAATATAAATTTTGATCTGACTCGATTATGATTTGATCATCAGAGCTCAGTTATGATTTGAAGCTATGGTGTTTCTGAAACGCAGCTGATCAGAACATGAAATTAGAACTAGATTTTTAATATAATTTCCTGAATACGTTTCGGGTCCACGCTACATACTAAATAAATTTCCAGTTGAGTGGTTTATCTGAACAATTAAGTTATCAAAAGAAAAATTTGGGTACCGAACTGTTAATTTTTTATAATATAGCACAATAGAAGTTATCACCATATAAAAATATTAGTAAAACAGTTCAACATGTCAACATCTAAATATATAGGGTACTAAAAAACAAATTGATTTATAAATGTAAAAGTAATTTTCATAACTATATTTACATACATTCTGCCAAAAAGTAACGGGAATTCGTAATTAAGGAACATCACATTGTCAATTTTTTCAAAATCATTTTTTGATACCGTTTTGGTGAATATAATGATCATCTTTCTTCAAGTTCAACAACTGCTGATCAGTTCCATTCAATAGCTCTATAAAGTTTCATATGGAAACTCGTTAAAATCATTTTTATCAAAAAGAAGAGATTACAGGCAATACAAAGTGTGGATGGAGAATTGAAAAATCATCAAAAATATATTTCGTTCTATATAATTTTCTACCTTTTTAAAGGATGATAATATCAAAATTTGATGCAAAATATTTTGACATAGCGACTATAGGAAGATAACTAATGAACTTAAGATCTCTCTCATTCCAGTTTGGTGGAAAATTCGAGTTTTAAATTCTTAACCACTGAACTGTATTCAACATAGTATTATAAATAGATATATTTCGAAAAGTAATACTAGTTCCACATTCATGCAAAACATTAGGAGATCGTTCGTTAGGAGATATAAATCTGAAAGTTCAATATACAATAAAGTTAAAAATAAGTTAAAGCAGTTACTTTAGAGTAAGTTCAAGTTTAAGTTAGCATCTCGACTCGCGGTTTTTTTCAATAGTATTGAATTTTCTTCATAAATAGTACCTTAAGCAAATCTTTTTAGATATGTTGGATCAAACAAATTATACTCTCTTCTTTATACTACGCATCATAATTTTTGACGAAACAACGTTTAAGGAGTTAATATACAAATAATTTAACTCTCAACAGATTGATGAAAGTGCATCACTTGGATAGTCAAAATGATGTTAATATTCATTTAATATTTAATATTTCTAGTTTGGTGTTCGATGAATTCTTTTAAGGAAAAAAAATAGTTTACTTGAATAATCTTTGCTTGAATAATGGAATGATTTCACACAATAATAAATTGCCTTTATAGATGGAGACAGTTTTCAACCAATTCAAGACTCAACCACAGTAAATAATATCGACTACCTTTGATACTTAACAAAATTAACTGATATATATTTTTTTGTTCCCATAAACAATGCATGCATCCATAAAAATTATTTTGAAGATTGAAAAGAACGCAGGACCTATAATGACGAATGACATCCTTAGCGATCTCAAAATTGATCCGATCAAAAAATACATAAGGGATAGAGCCCTGAAATTATTTGCAAAAACTGACAGGCTCACCAACAGGGCGTTATCGAATGTGAGAATGGTTACAGGCTCCATGGGGAGGTATGCAGATCTGAGGTCAATTATTGCTTAGTCTGATGAAGAGATAAACAATAATCCAGTCAAGGCGTAGAGAGGGGTTATGAAGAAATCTCGCAGTTAATAGAGAGTAAAAGTGCTCTAGCGCACTGACTCAACTAGTCTCAACATAATAACAAATAAATACTGATGAATCAATAAAAATTATTCACTTTATTTAAGAATTGTGTGCACCTCTTTGGCAGAATGTATTTGAATGTTTTTTATATTTTTTAATATCATAGTGTATTTATAGTGTATACTATACTATAGTGTTTAGTTAAAAGAATTTTAATTAATTTTTTTTCTTTTTTTTTCTATGGCATGGTTGTGATAACTTCTCATTTGCATATTCGAGAAACATCAACAATTATAGAAGACTTTGAGCTGCCGAAATTCGTGATCATTGTACCAGTAGTATGTTTGTAATATCAAGAAGTAATATTTGAGTTTCCACGAAATAAGTTTTGATCTTATCACGTTCAACCTAACTCTGTCATCAGAGTTGTAGATATCGCAGAAATAAAACTAATCCGAATTGATTGCTCATTTTTTGACTTAAGAAAGATTCCAAAATAAATTGTAAATAATTCCCTTAATATAAATAATAATTAATACTAAAGAATTAACCAAAACGATTTTGAAATATTTTTCAAAAGTTTAATAACATATTTTCTAAAGTTCGAAATTAGTTAAATAATAATAACTTTATTTAAAGAATAAAGTATTTTAATAAGTATTTTAGAATAAGTATTTTAGAAGAATATAGCAAAATCTTATTCGCAAAATTAAGTATAGTATTTTGGCTATATAAACACATCGGTAGTGTTTCAATAATGGGCAAAAAAAAACAAAAATATATTTTACATATATAAAAAAAACATTAAAACAACACAATAATATAGTTGAAAATAGCAATGTGCTTAATCAAAAATTTGTTCATATACATTTGAAAAAGTTGAAAAAATTTAGTTTATAAATATAAAAAAGAACTTTTATATTAGTTATACATATTTCAAACATTATTTATATATATATTACTTACCCACTTGGACCGTGACTAACGTCTTGGTTTAGGCTATTTCCCGAAGACCCACTATTAGGGGATGTAGACTCATGTAAAGGCCGTATTAAAATAGTGCTTGTCTAAAAATTATTGAAAAAAGTAAAAAGGTTTTAACCCTAACAAACAATTTGGAATATTCTAACATATAAAGATTCTGAACTGTTTAAATAGTCTTTTGGACAGGGCTGTCAATCGGAACCAAACCGAAAACCGAAAAAAAACTATGTTTTTGTCGGAGCGAAGACCGGAACTGACCCGATATATATTTTTTTTTAGTTTTGAACCGAAACGAAAACCGGAACGGAAAAAATTTCGGTACGAAACCCTGCTTTTGGAGGGGATTTTATAGTAGTTAGTAGTTGTTTAATAGATATAGACAAAAAACGATATTGAATTCGAAAAGTGTTCTTAAGTAAATTAAAAACCAACCTTGTATTTGATGGTCTTTTTTTTAAGGACAATGTCTCAATCTAGGCATTTACGCAAACAACGACACATACTAATATATATAGTACAAAGAATCTTGGACTATTATCTAAAGGCCCCAATACATTTAGATCGATTGATCTTCAGTTTCGTTGAGATAGATGTATTCGATAACTGGACAATCTATTTCTCACTGAATAAACACATTGTGTAAATTGTTTTTACGGTTACAAGATTTTATATGCAAACATCCAACAAATTGTATATGCATTCTCAAATACCCGTTGTTAATCTTTGTATATAGTTCCTTGACATATACGTATATTTTCAATATAGAAATTATACCTGTGAGGGCGGAGAATCTGGTGAAGAATCACGATTGCCATAATGACTGATATCAGGTTCATTACGCTGTAAGCCAATATTTGTAATTTCATCGCCATATTGAGAGTATCCTGCTTGCTTATATATTTGTCCTTGAAATACATTTTCATCAACGAATTGACTATCTATCGATTGATCATTTGTCAATGTCCCATCCATATTAATGCCGTCCTGATCGGGCTGTGTCGAAGTTGTTGATGGTGGGGTTGGCGGTGTCGGCCGCGGCGACATACCCTTACATTGCATTTCCCGTCGACAGTGTTCAGCGCGGGCAATTTCAGCAGCTAACCATGACGGTAATTCAGGGAGCAGCCACGTTAAAGCAGAACGCAAACCTAACATAATATGCTATATTTATAAAATCAAAAAACTAGTTAGTTATCGTTGCTTAGAAAATCAATAAAAAGATTATATTTACTTCCAATGCAACAATTAAAATAATTGTTTGTGCAGTTGTTAGACCCGGCCATAGGCGAGAGACTTGCCCCGATAATCCAATTAACGCACAGTTAACAATCACAGCTGCTAGAGACAAAATACTTAAAGCATTTTGCCATGTACCAATATTAGCAACACGTTGTCCAAACGGTCGCTGATGCACATGTGCCAGTTTAAAAGCATCCGAGCGTATTTCCATTAAATTATTAATCAGAGCACAAACACCCGCCAACGGAAAAGCGGCTGAGAAAAGTACAACATAACCCATTTGTACTAACATTTCCAGATGATCGGAAAAGGTCCCATCATACTTTACATTTAGTCAATTATTAAATAAATTTAGAAAAGACAATGCCATTATAGAAATAATAGTGTTTTTTCAAACGCTTACCTTGTACAATGAACTTTCTATTTCGGCTTGACCAATATTACGTTTTGTGGGAGTCGATACTGCATCTTCCTGTTTTTGTTGTATAAATTTCATTGCTGTACGATGTGGTGTATCTTTCTTAGATTGTGCTGCAGACGTTCCATTGAAGTCTGTTATGGATTTATTGCAAACTTGAGTAGGACTTAATGCACCCCACATATTGAAGCTTAACTTTGCCAATCTCCACTGTTCGATTAAGTATGGAAGAGCGGATTCACGCAAATTGCCAATGATTTGCCGAGATATAAGAAGCCCTGCCAATTGCTTATTACGTTGGAAAAAAGAAATCAATTATATGTTTTGCAACTGATAATTTTTATAATAAATCGGTCCCATAAACTAAAAATTGAATTCATTGTTTTTAATGAACGAACCATAGTACAAAGCCTTTCTTAAAACGCTTCAACGTTATATGCTAACTATTGTGTTATTTAATATATATATATCTATTTCTACATATTTTTAACAGTTTGATTGAATAAGTGCTACATAGATGTAGTCAGTCAACTACATTCATCAGTCAACTTAGGTTGATTCTAAGCGAAAGTTTCATTTAATTACCTCGAAAATTGAGAAATAAACTAAAGTAATTTATCTTAAATAGATATATATATATATATATATATATATATATATGTATATATATTATATAACGTTCAATATCTCCTTTATAATAATTTAAACATTTTATTATACTTAATCTGTGTCACTATAAAACGGAATAAATCTATTATAATCTAAAGTTAGTATCAACAAAATGAGCTAAGTACTAAATTTCTAACAACTGTGTGTGAAAAGTATCCTTCTCTCGAAGAGAAAGTCTTCCTACTTACGAAAACTTAGAAGTTCCAGTTCATTTACCAAAATAAGACATTGAGTTACAACATGATGGCAATCTATGTCCATAAGTGGATAACCTCACTTCATTTTAATAGATGGAGAGAGTTGAGCACTTGTAGACAGACTCATGTTGCCGAAACCGTGCGCCAGGGAAGCGATGAAAGTGCTTAGCTATTCGCGGAGCACTCTAAGCTGGCTGACCTCACTAATTACTGGACATGGCAACTTGAAGTATCACCTCAAAAAGATAACTCTTGCTGAGGAAGACACTTGCAGACTATGTCTAGAAGAAAAGTAGACAGTGGTGCATATATTGTGCCAATGTCCAACACTGGCAAGTAGAAAGAAGTCTGTCTTGGAACACCATTGGGTAAGTGATGACTTGGCAGGAAACCTCAAGCTAAATGAGCTGCTTGCAATAACAAAAGATGTAGTTATGCGAACGGCTTTAACTCAATAACAACATCCGAGAATCGAAGGACGAAAAAGGACCCAAGTAGTTTCGTGCTCTACTTCGACTAAACCTTCAACTCAGTGGGGCCACTTGTTGGACAGTGCGCTGTCCCAACGTCCCACCATATATATATACCAAAATAAGAAATATAGTACTGAAAGCTGTGAATGATACCTTAACAGATGTAAATAAATATCATCATTCTACTTGTGTACATTTCCTTTCTTCTACAATTTCTTTGACAAGCCAACGTTATTGTCCTAAACATTCGAGACTGTTGGCCTTAATCTCCGTGGTACTAGCTTTACATCATCGGTCAGGTCTCGTATTCGAAATTCATTCTATACGAATAATATAGTATAGGGTGAAAATACAAAAAATATTCTATTAGGCAGAGATAATTATATTATAGGTACCGACGCACATTGAAATTCACAGCAATGAGCTGGCTAAAAAGTTACTTACAAAAAATGCTGAAATCTTAAAAAGACAAAGTGAAACTCATTTCTACTGAAATAAAAAACCAGATCCAAATTTAATCCTAATATAATCCAACATATTTGTATTTATATTATAAAATCAAGTGCTATAGCGGTTAATAGCACTTATCAAAAATTATCTAAGAATTATGCATGGGTTCTTTCTTAGATATTGCAAATTGAAGAACACCTACAAAATATAGGTGAGGCTTTTGCATCTTTATTAACTAAATGTCATGCTCTAGCGAGGACTTAAATCAAGTATTTTGACCATAATCATTACAACATGGAGAAAGTATAAACGTGTACTCTAGAATGATATTTCTTGAATTGAAAACCAACTGCGAATCAGCAAACGGAGCTATTTTGAACGGCGGTGCTAATGCTGCTTTCTGACACCGGTCCGTAAACCAGTCTACTTTAGAACCTTAATAGTGTAGAATACATACATTTCTAAATAACAACGCCCTTATAATACAAACACACAAGAATGAAAAGAATCTGCTTATAAAGCTCCTGCTATCCTTTAATAAAGGTAATATATCAATTACTTAGTACTGGTCATTGAAAACCTCTTGCATACAAAGTGCATTTGTACCACACGCACTATGTGAGCGATCAGCAATTTAAATTATTATCTATCTCAGGCCATCAAATATTATACATATACATATGAATTATATATACTTCTAGGTTGCAGGTACATAAGATATTATAAAAACACCAAGTTTCGAATGTTGGCTACTGGGTGTAAGAGAGATCACTCAGAATAAATAGACCAAGCTTATTAAATTAGAACATAACACTAAACGACATCTAAAGAATGGGATTAGATAATATGTTACAATGTCACAATGTCTTCAACTAATCAGAAATACAATGTATGACGAGATCTATAGAATCTTATCTTATCTTATCTTATCTTGTAATAAGTTTATACCTATATTATACTTCTAAATAATACAAAATAAAAGCTATTAAAAATACATACTTCTTTAAGCTTTTCTTCATCTCGCAAATAAAATGCGATGTAAAAAAGTGATAGAAAAGAGTTAACAAATTGAAAAAGTGCCACTTTTGCAATGAGATGGTTTTCATATTTCGATTGCAGTCGATAGTTCTCTGAAAATAAATTGAAAAATGCAATAGAACTTTTTAATTCCTTAAATATTTTTTTTCAACTCACCACGGTTGTTTAGCCAAACAGCCAACTTAAAATACGCTTCATCCATAAGTGTAATTGCTCCTGCAAGCAACACTTTTGGTATAACACTTAAACAGCCTATAATACTTTCATCTGGTAACTTGGCATCCCACCAGTCCTTTAATAAAAAAATATGTACATAATTAATAATGTTTATAATTAATAATTAATGTTAATATCAATATAAAAATCCTTAAAAAATATTTCTCTCAAATTTTAAATAATTTTTATTTATATACAATGAAAAAAATTGACTACATCTCTTCCATTCTGACAATTCTGACAGCAAATTTAATATCGAATTTCCATCTAGAGACTTATGAAAGTCAGGCGGTCCCTCTTTAGGTGAGGGCTTAACCATTTTCGCTGACGGATCCAAAACAAGTAGTGGTGTATGAGGTGAAGTTTTCTCAGATGAACTGAATAAATCTTACTATATCTTACTACTCAAGAAACACTGTTTATAACACAAGAAATTATTAATGCGGTAACATCAGTTACTGTTTTAATGGAATACTAGATGGTTAAAAATATATATATATATATTATTTTTAGTATATAGAATATGCTTATTGGTTCTTGCAATTTCATATAAAAATATAGAAATTATTCAAATAATAATTATAATCATGATATATGTATTTGCGCTCTTAGTTGGAGCGTATGACGCTTACTTACCTGAAATCGTAGCATTATGAACATTACAAGAAACACTAGAAAAAGACAAAGTCCAATAACTGGAAAACTAACAAAGTAACGAAATGCACGACGTTTCCACACTGGAGCTTCTTTCGGTTCCAGACGGCCGGTTACATTATTTTCGACTAAGGGACCCTATAACGAAAATATGTGGTATATTTTATTTGTTATAATCAAAATATATATAAATCACAACATGCCTTATACAGTGGTCTAGGTGGTTCCAGCAATTCTGGCGGAGTAGATAATGTACCCCAACGAAATGAAAGCTCTACTGAATATCGTTTCCAAGCTTCTAAGTATAGGGAAGCCCATGCAACATTAAATAATGAAAAAAGTACATGTCCCATGTCTTGTGCAGTTTGACCTTTTCCCCAAAGGATGCAATACAGAATGGAACCAAAAACAGCAGGAACGCCCAAAGCACATGTATAATGCCCCAACCAAGCAAAATATAATGCCACCTTAAAACCAAAGTACTCAGCAATATCATCTATATTTGACATACACAATCATTAAGTTAAGTTAGAATAAAAATGTATTTATTGATAAAAATAAAAAATTACCAAGCGGTTGTGGTGCAAATATTTGTTTAACCCAACAAGTTTGTAATTGTGTTAAGCTTCCAGTCTCATGTAAAGGAAAGACTTGTGTTATAAGACCAGAGTCTTGCCATGCAGCGACAATACTTTGACCCTCTGCAACAGCAGCCCGACCTTGTAAAGCATCTATATCGCCTCGACCTGCGCGTAGTCCCTGCAGTACTTGAAGAACTAACCACTGTCTTTCTTGTGAAGTAAAAAGTGTAGCACCACCATCATCGTTTTTTAACTGTTGGAAACAATGACTTTCACGAGTAGTAAACTCTCGTAACGCACCTCCTAAATCAGGACGAAGACGTTTAGGTAAACGCGCTTCTTCAGCGGCTTTAAAAAGGCTAGTCATAAATACATAATGATAGAAATTTAATTAAACGATGTCATTAGCAATAAACTGCATAGTAAATATAACTCACACATTCGCTGGAGCGCTTATATAAAAAGCATTTCTTCGCGTACTTTCATGCGCCTTGACTTGAACTATCAGTCCCAGACCTGCATGCGGTTGTGCCCGTATTCGTGCAAGGAGCCAACGTAAAGCTTCATCAGGCGCATCTTCTGGAAACTCAATAACAACATCACACTGCGTAGGAATTTTGTTAAGCCATAACCTGCGGGGTGTCATTAAATGACCTGCATAGGGTAGTTTACGTCTTAACTGACGGGAGGCTGAAATGAAGTAGACAAATTGTATGACTAATAATAGAAGTATTTTAAAAACTCGTACAGAATATTTTTGATATGCCTAGAACAACTCTTTGTATTTGTAAGTTATATTTTCTTTTTGAGTGTTAATTAATTATTACACCGAATTATAATTCGAATTTTCTGTAATATGTAATATGTATTTTTTCCACCTTGACAAATGCCTCTAAAAAATCTATATCTAAAGCACATTGTACTTTTAGAAAATTAAAATAATTCATTGGCTGTTGTTGTCGCAAGAATTCTGACAAAAATAAAGAACATATGGAGCACAGAATAAAAACCCCGAAAAGCGACATCTGAAGTTTACATATGAAAACGTTTATCAAATCAAAACTGCCTCAGTGATAACCACAAAAGCTGAACTGAAGTTTTGTAATGGGTAAGCTCAAACGTATCGTGTGAAATCCACAAATAATTGCGTTTTGTAGTTTTATTCTACGCATTACTGTATTAGTAGTTAAACACCTTTTTTCGTAATTAAAAATTCAAATTAAAAACTATAATATTTATAATATATTAAAAACTATAATTTGTTAATAAAAAGCTAAGCAGACGATTTATAATCTTTATCTTAAACTAACAGTACATTCACACTGTCTCACTTAGGCACTTGCATATTTATATTAATGAGTGAACGTTTACATTATAATGAGCTCATTTATGCAGCTGATAGAATTTTTACAAACTTTTATAAACCCCACTTAATAATATAGAATTAAATTAAAATTAAATATATAATTGATATATTAAATTATTTATATACATTTTATATATTAATTATATATAAAATTAATAAAAACAAAAACTTATTAAATGCTTACTTCCTCGGTACCGTTGTGTAGTGCTCAGCTGTTGTTTGTTTACATTTTATATATATAACATATGACATATATATTAAATTTTGGTAATTTCCTTTGTGGGAAATTTATTTTCAAAAGTTGCATTCGACCTTTTTCGCCTTAAATGAGTTGATTTATTTATAATGAGCTCATTTATACGAAAGATTGAAAGATGATTTAAATCATTCTCATTAGTGGCTATAATGAGCAAAATAATTGTTATTGCATATTTGTTGCAATACTAAATTTATTGCCATTAAAACAAACTGTTTTATTTGAATGTTGTAAAGCGCGTATTACACCTCAGATTTGGTCGTACAACTTATGCGTTGAAATGCAAAATTTGTAATAAGTTTGACGTCTAATAGCAATATTTGCAGGTCTAACTTCAAATCGGATGGAAATAAATATATAAATAAAATGTATTATAAATAAAATGCTAGCATGAATTCAACGGATGAATAAAATTTGCAACATGTTTCCAGTGAACATTCACTGATTCACTGACTGATTTTTGAATTTGGCTGCACTGAAACTTAAGACTTAAAATTTTTTGCGAATAAAACCTAACTCTGAAGATTTTAAGAGCATTGTTGTTGCTTCACATGTTTTCTTTTGTAAGTTGCGAGTATTTTTTTGTTACTTTAAAAAAAAAATACGTTTAATATACAATGGCCGTTTGCGAGTTAGAGTAAATAGAGGTAAACTAAATTGAAATTTTCTAGGTACTTTTTGCACACCACTTATGTAAATATTTATTTATTTATTTATTGCATTTATTTATTATTTTTGGTTAAAAGTTTTTAAATTTATTTATTTAAAATTTTCACAATGGTAATACCTAATTTTTATCTAATTTATCCTACTCGAAATTCTGTTAAATATCAACATTCACTGCAATATCGACATAATTCATTATTTCTCTAAATTTACCATCAATTTACTCGAACTCGCACACGGCCAATATGTTAATAATGCTCAACAATAGTTTGTGTCTTATATAAATAAAAATGTACTAAATCCACATATTAGCTTATGATTATCAGAATAAGAATAAAATCGGAATAAGCTAAAAATATACAATATTAAGATAAGAATATATGTACACATATATTAACACATGTCTAATAAGATATAATAGGTCTGTTCCACGAGCTACTCATAGTAACTTTGAGTAAACACTGTGTATACACAACCGCGTTCCACCAGCAAATTTTCAAGTATTTTTGTGTAAATTTTACTTCTGTTTTACTCATGTTTTACTATGAGTAGCTCGTGGAACAGACCTAATATAAAACTACAATAGACATTAATATGTTAAGTCGTAGTGTAAATGCACACACTTATGTGGTATTTTCAATTCGACCAGAGTTCATAGATTATTTTTGAAACGTTGCTTAATGCTTGGCATTTTCATCAATTGTCAAATTCGAGGTTGAAAATTGCGGTATAATTTTTCCTGATTCTGAACTATATAGTTGATTACTATAGTTGACTTAAGTTGATTACATATAATACCAAGTTCAAGAAATTTTCTACGAATCAAATAACAATCTACAAGTAAGTAGTTACTTACACTAACTGTGAGAATATACACATTTTTACTAAGAAAATCAACTACTTATTTTTTGGAAGATAATGAATTATAGAAAGTATATATACTTATAATATATATTTTTCATTCGAGTTTTGTTTGAAATTCGAAATTATAAATTTCGCGCGTCTAAAACTTTTGCAGTTCAATCCACAATTTTATGTGAATAACCCTATGAATGTTGATTAATTTTTTTACAGCTCTTAAGATGGATATCGAACAGACCGATAAAAAATATTGCTGGTGCTGCAAAGAAAATAAAGTTGACATTAGTATGAATAAATCTGATGTGAAAGAAGCCATGCAATGGATACTAAAAACCAATGAACTCAAGCCTGGTTGTTTAATGAATTTATGTCGCTCCTGCGCTATCGAATGCTTGAAGTGCAAATTAATCGGATGTGTCGTTGAAGAAACCTATGCTAGTTTCCCGGGAAACCTAGAATTCAAGTAAATAAAATATTAAGATACAACTTTTATAGAAGCACTCAGTTTGTAAATCGAGAAATTCAATTACGACGTTTGTCGTAGCTTCTTTTCGTCTGAATATAGTTTTGAATATCATAACCTTAAATTTTTTTTCCGAAATACCTATTTGCTTTTAATTCATATTAGTTTTATTGTAATGACTCTAAGAAAATATTTTTTCTCACTTCTAACCACAAATAGATATAAAATTTAATTTAATTAAATAAATAAATTTCTTAAATAGGTTAGAGAATTCCGATGATCGCGATAATTGCAAATCCACCAGCAATAAAAGAGTTAAATGTAATGATTGTGAACGTACTTTTAGCAAGAAAAGCTCTTTAAATCATCATCAATTGACTCACTCTGGCTTAAAACCTTTCATATGTAAAGTGTGCGAAAAAGGATTCTCACGTCGTACTATTTTAAACAATCATATGCGTCTTCATAGTGGTAAAAAACCGTTTAAGTGCGAAAGATGTGTCTTGACTTTTACGACGAAGTGTAGACTTAACGTGAGAATTAAATACTGTGTTAATTGACTAAATTAAAATCAAATTTTTTTTATTTAGTACCACATCGTCCGTTTTCACAGTGAGAATAAACAAAGTTCTACTAGAACGTATCATTGCAAAACTTGTAACGAAAAGTTTGGGTCTAATTGTGAAAAAAAAATACACTATGAAACACCTGGTTCGAAATGCTATCGGCATACTACACCCAACCATCCTGAGACTGTGTCATCTGATTCAGTAGCTGATTTGTTTTTAGATTGTGCCAACTGTAATAAAAAGTTCTTGACACTTAAAGATTTGATGAAGCATCAGGAGATGCATGAAGCTCCAATATTTGAGTGCAAACATTGTACAGTATGCTTTAATAGCGAAACTGAGCTTTTGTACCATATGGTTAAAGTACACAAAGATGAGAACGATATTATTAATGAGGATCGATTGGGTTTTAATGTAAAAGACAACAACAATACTAGCATGGTGAAGCACGAATGCAGTATCTGCAGAAAATGTTTTACGAAGGGATCCTCTTTGAAATCACATATACGTTCTGCACATACAGATGAGAAACCGTTCAGTTGCTCTTATTGCTTCAAAAGTTTTAATCGCAAAAATATCCTCAATAGACATATAAAAACACACACAAAAACTAGGCCCGCTGTACATGTAAGTACGATTTAAGGGTCTTGAAAGTGCTTATATTGTATTTCAATTTCAATTTCGTTTCAGACTCATATAAATAGCTCACATGAGGATAATGTGGTTGAGACACTACTTTATTGCTCCCATTGCCAAGATATTTTCGGTAATGAAAAATATTTACTGGACCATACTGCAGCAAAACACAAAGGTGTCAAAGTTGATTATAAATGCGACACCTGTGAAAAAGTATTCTCTGATTTAAAGGAGTATAAAGTACATATAGTGACCCATAATATTTCAAATTAAAGACGATTTAATATTTGTTACAGATTATTGATATAAGAAATTTAATTTTAATAACTAGTTCACAAATTATAATATAATAATTTTTTTATATATTTATTATATTTATATTATTTATTATAATTATATTACTTTAATATAATTATAATTATATTAAAGTTCACAATTATAATTAATAAATAAATAAATAAAATATATAAAAAAATAAAAATAAATTATGTAGAATAAGGTAAACGGTAATATAATTTATTAGCGGGCTAATTGGTCAATTTAATAGAAATAAAAAAATATAAATTATTATTTATATTTAAAAATAATTTATATTTTATTAAAATATTTTAAAAACAGTAATGATATAAAACAATACAAAAAATCTTTTCTACTTAATTGCATTTTTTGTTGTTGTAAATCATTATTATTTAAATATTTTTATTTAAAAATAGTCTGACTGTATATATTTGACTTTAATTATTTTAATAATAGTAATAAATGATTTTTGATAGTAAACCTCATATAAAACATAATCAATGAAAAAATATTCTTTACTTAAGTTCCATTTAAATTCGTTCTACATACCATTTTCTATTTTTTCCTTCGCACAACTTATTATCTTCCCTTTTCGCCTCCGTAGATGTGACTCGGAATTGTTATCGTCAGTGAAGTCATCGCCAGCATCTAACCCAGCGTCTTCAGCTGTAGTTGATTCATGCAAGTCGTCTAATGATTGACGTTCTGAAGAGTTACCACCGGCACAATGCATTAAACTTTCAAGACTCTTATTCATTATCATAGATCACTTGGCCAAGAAAAATGAAGGGACGTGAAGTTTTATTGTACACTGCTTATTAAATGTGTGCAGATCAGGAACAGTATCATTACTTCATATAAATATACTTGTATAAATGTTTATATAGCCGTAATTCAGATGTTTGTCAGATACTATATTCAGACCATCCTTCAGAATTTTAATATATTAAATTGTTTTCTACATTGTTTGAAATGTTTATAAAGAAAATCGTTGTGATATAATTATAGTTCTTATAAATACTACTATGTGATATCATATATGATTATAATACTTTAAAAATTGAAATTAAGTAAATGATTACTTATGAAAATATTTTTCATAAGAAATTATACTTGCACTCACAGTCGCAGTAATTGGAAAAGCTTAGTTAGCACAGTTAATTAAAGTTATATTATTCGAATTGGACTGTTTCATTTAAGGTCCAATTTGTACATACTATAAATACTGTAGATAAATGCATTCATTTGATGAACTCACATGCCACAATCAGATCTAATACTCTCTCGTGGCAGCGTATCAATTCAACTTTGTTTACATTATTAACTACAATCCACAACGAATCCTCTTCAAACGTATCCCAAAAGCAGACAGACAACTTATATCTTGAAACCAAAAACCTATACCACCAGTCGACACACCGGTAGAGAATCACTTCTCGAATTTATATAGTTATCACCACTCTACCTATAGAAACTAACCGAATGGATGGATTGAATCTTTTCGTGGTGTTTTGTGGTCTTTGTAAATCGTTTGTTGACTTTGGTCGTCACAAGTAATTTTTGAAACGTTATCCACTACATGTTGCAAAATGTCAGATTATTCCAAAAACCGTAAACCAACGAAATGTACCAATACAAAAATGTGATATAATGATAATATATTTATTCTCAACTAATGTTCGAAAAAATTTTTTAATTTGATTTTCTCAATAAATCCATTTCACACAACTTCTAATAGTTTTACTTTAGGAATTCACTTCAAAACTGCCATTTTTCTTAAAGGCTATTTCATAACACTCTCCAGAGCACGGTTAGACACAACACATTAACGAAGGCAAGTATTTACATTTTTACTAAGCGAAAGATAAAAATACTGTTAAACACCATATATATCAGTTTCATATATATCAGCTTTCGAAGTTCCTTTATTTTTTGCACTCTGAAATGAGGTAATTCCTTTTCAGATTTTCCGTCATAAAATTTACTTCTTCTATCCTTTCACATTGAGAAGCAGAAAAAAAACAAATTAAAGTCATTTTATATAAAAGTGTGTTGTCATTTTACAGGATGTAACTGCTACAAAGAAAACACTGCCGTTGACTGAAAAATACCGTGTTAACCTCTTTACATTCTTAACACGAAACTGTGGTGAAAATTTCATGAAGTATATCGATTTTTTCTTTCGACATCAGGGGTGGTTTGGCTAATCACTTAGGTTATCCCCCTCACATATACGACAGTTTTTGGTACAACTTTTGAAGCCCATTTATTCGCTTCAACTTTATTTGTCTTGCGTAACTTTAACAAATTTTTATGAAAATGCGAAATCTTTTTAAAATTTTAATTACTATATCCCGAAGCGATTCTCCATCCATATCAAATCCAATTATTAATTTTGATTTATGAAATATACTAGTTTCTATTAAATATAATAATCACTTCCATTTGAAAAATTGACGTTAAATTACAACTTATATTCACAAAATATTGGTCTCGCCCCTGCGACTCGTAGAGTAACATTAGCATGACTTTCTCAGTATTACGTTTCTAGATTTGGTTCTATACATACGATAGAATATATAAATCATGCAAAAAATAATGCATCTACAAACAGAATAGTATTGAAATTTAACAATTAAAAATAAAAATATAATTAATTAATTCAATTATTCTACAGCTGATTTATGATTTCATTCTAATATAAAACACAGTAAGTGAATTTGTTAATAAAAACTTTAACGGCAAATTAGCAAAATATAAAAGCTATATATTTTGAGCTTATATAAATAAGCTCGAGTATCTACATCTATTCCTACTGTAAATATATATTGAGCTCAGGTAATAAATCCTAATAATCAAATAGCTAAAATAGCATAGATTATTCCTAAAGATCCAAAAGTTAAGGAGCGCAGACTCTGAGCTTCAAATTTGGCAGGGCACGGGTTCGATTCCTGATACTTGCAGTCGCAAAAAAAAATTATTTACAAATAATTAAATACGAGAATTATTTCCAAGACCACCAATGATGAGCCAAAAATCCAATTAATTAAAATAATATAAAAAATAATTTTTGTTGTTGTGATTCACTACTTTAATTTATTTATTTTTTAATATTTAAAAAATCTCATCTATTAAAATGACGATGATAAAATTCATAGCAAATATTTACTTCTTCCCAATTTATATATTTTTCACACATACACAGCGTAAATATATAAGTAAATACATAAACATATATATGTAAATATATTAAATTTGTTCAGATGTTAAACTCCGCAGTTAAGGAGATATGGCAAGCACTACAAAATAAAAGATTTTCTTGATCGAATCAACAATACAAATCGATCTATATTTCTATTAGTTTCTCTATCTCCAATTTATTTCTCTAACAGTCCATCTGTCCGCTTCTCTATGTGTTTGTTTACCACTTGCAATGCAAACTTATTTACTTATTGTGCTTTCAGATTAGATTTTTTGATGATCAAATTCGGATGACTGTAACATATATTATCGGAAACCTTAATATTGCACATAGTTCTCTAAGCTCCATTTTTTGTAATATGCATTATATTGTCAGAAGATGGATCTATTCTCTTATTTTCCTGAATATGCCACTGCTACAAAGTATACCACATCGACAAATTGAACCGATCTAGCAATTTTGAGATCAACGAATAAAAAAAACTGACTAGATTTGTATAACTACATCTCATAATCTTTTAGTTTAATTAACAAAAATTAACAAAATTGTTTGCAACGGATTAAGAATACTTGTAGAAGTATAATTCAAGCATAATTTAATTTTTAGAGAAATAAATATAATAATCCACATAAGCTTTTAAGGAAGAAATCTCAAACACTTCTTATTGCAGTCAAATTTGGATAAATGCACTTTTTTATAGATAACTGTTAATCAACTTATAATTGATGTTTAAATGTTTAAAGAATATACTAATTTCTTTACGAATATATATATTATTGATATACCATATGTAATTTTAGGTCCTAATACTATGTTTACACAACTATCAAACCTTATTAGCAGATTTTGTACTTTTCGACTTAATTGCGGTAGTGTAAACACTATCACTGTACTTAGCGTCTATACTAGAAAATTTAGTTCTATTTTTCCTGAACTATACGATAATTGTAATTACTTTTTTCCGGAGTCAAACCTATAGATTACCACAGATCAGGAATGCAAATGCCAACAGCACCAAAGTTAAGTTTCAGATCAAGAATTATTGTTCGTTTATGCGGTCACCTTGCTACATATATAACATAGAAAAATTTGTAAGTAAGTTTGGAAACCATTCAAATTTACTTACAAATCTCTATTCGATATATACATCACTTTGCATCTTTGGAATAACCAGAATATCTACAAAACTTAAGCTAATCCTGTTATTGTTATTGTAGCTTGTCGAGAGGCATTGTCAACCCCTAGTAAAGAGAATGGTGGGTGAACAAATACAGACACATCTTTAACATATTTAATATTCCAAAGAGTTAAGAAATAATTATCATTTATTTAAAATTATAATTTTGACAAATTCAGTTAACCATTCAGTCCTTTTAAGAAAACCTGGAAAGTATTGAAAATTTGAAAAGAAAGTATTAAGACGATTTAAAAAGATGCCCATTCTTCGAACCGCTTCTGTTTAACAGAGGTTTTACTGTATGTAAACTTATATATTGGTATTTTACTAAACATAATGCATGATAATATCTTGCATATATAAGGCTTATACTAAAGCCTATTTCAAATTTATAAATTTAAAAGACTTCTTGTGAACTTAAGAAAATGTACAAATGTTTTGACGATAAGTTAGACATACTTAAGTGTTAAATCCTTTATATAATATGGTATATTGTGCACTATCAATATAACATTATTAGATAGAATACAGGCTAATAAACGCTTTAAAACGAAATTGGTAATACACTTCAAAATTTTGTCCATTAAAAATAAACTTAAAATATACAAAAAAAAAAAAAATACTGTGACCCAAGAATACATACCAAAGCAGGCCGTGGCGCATAATAAAGAGGAGAATGCTTAGCGAAGTTAATGAACATTTTTGGACCGTCTATGTAAGCAACTGGACAACAGTGATAATAAAATATAACAAGAAAATAATTAAAACGAAACTCTATAGCCAGCTTTCGTTATTGGACCCAATGATGGGTAATTATGACCGATATTGCATCATGAAAGATATTAGAGATATCGTTTAATAAATTGAAGCATAAATCATTTTTACAGGACGCTGTCTGTCCGTCCGTGTATTATGCAATTAAACATGATTGGGCAAGTTTTTGCATGCAATTGCATATGGCACAGTTTAGAAATCGTACCACTTACAATGTATTGTAAAATGAAATTTTTAAATAAATTGTTTATTAAAAGAAATAATACTATTTATATTAATAAAAAGGAAAAACTTGGAATAACCACCCTATAAAGTTAGATAAATATACTCATATGGACCTTTGTGATGATTTTAATATTTTATATAAAAAATTCTTTGATTACAAAAATATATATTTAATTAAAAAAATTCTATTAGACTTATATAAAACAAATATTATTTAACAATTTCAGTATTTTAGTATATCAAATAAATTTAAAATATTCCATTTCAGTGCGGTTAATGAACCTTAAATATCTGCATCTTCATATTGTACAATTATTTGTGTATAGTTTTCGAAAAATATCTTCTCTTATAAGTAAACCTGAATGTATGTTAATTGAAATAGCCGCAGGTCTATTATATAGATGAATCCCATGATTCCTCAGCCTCCACTCGTATGATTTGAACTGGCTGTAAAGAAATTGATGTAATATAAAAAGTATAAACTCGATATCCCTAATATAAGCTTATTATTTAATTACAGACTGAGTATATCTAGCGTTACAGTATTTTTAATTAATAGAAAACGAAAGTTATAATTATATTTAATTAGGCCGTGTGTGAGTTCAAGTAAATTGAGGAAAATAGTAAATTATGTCGGTATGCCAGCGAATATTGGTATTTACCAGAATTTCGAGTATGGTAAATTAGATTAAAATTTAGTTAAATTAAGTTTTATCATTGTGAAAATTTCATAAGATATTTAATAAATAAATTAATAAATTTAAAAACTTTTAACCAAAAATAATAAATGCAGTGCAAAAAATCCGTAGGTAATTTCAATTCATTTTTCTTCAATATACCCGAACTCGCACACGGTCTTAATAGATATTTAACATTAATGGTGAAAACAGATTTCGGTTAGTTATCTGTTAGACAATATCTCAAGATCGAAAGATATATTTATACTTAATTAATAGATATTCAGTATTAACGGTAAAAACAGATTTCAGTCAGTTATCTGTTAGACTATATATCAAGATTGAAGTGCTAGTTGTTTACTAGAGTTGTTCAGCTAGAATTGTCGTTGATTTGTTTGCAATAGACAATGACTTCAAATACAAAAAATGTTTCACCAACGAAAGCAACTCGTCATGTAGACCATATAGTTATTACTCTGATGACATGCAATACATACCTATTACGAGTATATTCAACAACAAATGGAAAAAAGTGCTGTTAATGACTCTGTTCCGTGCGCTATTAGCTTTGAAATTCTGCTTTTCTTCATTTTTGAATAAGTATGACCTAATCATGTGACTCGTACCTAAACAACATATAACAGAGCCATTTTTACTCTAAATATGACAATTTTTTTTTATTGACCATGTTAGTAAGACAAAATTGCGATTCATAGACTCATGTTCTGGCGTTCTGGTTCTGAACATTTTTGATACATACACAAATACTTTATAAACGCTGCTGGTTCTTAAGATTCACGTAAGATTACTTGATAAAAATATGATTATTAGTTAACAAATTAATTATCAACTATTTCAAAGTTCGTTATATTAAAGCAAGTACCACCTACAAGACGTTAGTGTAGTATTGCTTCAAATATTATTCGAGCTTGTCAAAGATTTCAGAATTTTACTATGTATGAACAGAACCCAAATGTCAAATATCATATTTTGAAGCAATTCCTTGCAGTAGTAATAATTTAAAAAATTCTATATAATGAAAGTACACTGAGTTTGCTCAGTAAATTTAAACTATCATATACATATAATCACATTGTGTCAAAAAAAATCAAATTGAAAAGAAAAAAACTATCTTCTAAATTATCAGAGAAAAAAAAAATAAAAACTAAAAATATTACTAACATTTTTTCGAACTTTCGAATGTTTATAGCTTAGAATGCAATAGTTCAAGTTTTGGGAATTGTTTATTTTAACTATTGGATTTAAAATAAGAGCAAATATTTTGAGCAGGTAAGTTTAGTATTAATGTATTACCTGCATGACACGTATATCTTCAGCTCCGAATTGCCTATTATCTACACGTTGTCCAGTTGTTACAGGTAAGTTCACCAGATTTCTCTCTTTAAAGAAGTCTGGTACTTTTTGACCTGATTCTAGTAAAATTTTTACTAAAGAATTCACTAAAATCCTGTTAACGTTGGGATCATAAAAACTTGTTGCTTTTCCGTTATTACCAAGGCGTCCTGTACGTCCAATACGATGAACGTACTCTTCAATAGTGAATGGCAAATCAAAGTTAATGACGTGTTTTATATTTTTTATATCTAAAATATATATAGATATATATCAAAAGTCATATATAAATTGATTACAACAACCGTAATTACCTAAGCCTCTTGCTGCTACATTTGTTGCTACAAGAATTTTCATATGACCAGTTTTAAAGTCCTTTAATGCCAGTTCTCTTTGACTCTGCAGTCTACCTCCGTGGATTGAGGTAGATGGAATATTATGTTCAGAGAGGAATGTCGCTAAGAAATCTGCTAACCTTTTCGTCTCAACAAATATTAGTGTTCCGCTTATATCTTCCGTTTCCATTAACATATCCTTAAAAAATTACGTTCATTTATATAATATTTTTCATAAAACTATTTTATATAGAAAAAGTGTAAATAGTAATGAAATGCAACAACATTTTTAATTAACATAAATAATCTGGTTTTCTTTTCGTGTTTTCGTTAAAAAAAAATATTATTGAAATCTGACAACAAATAGAACAGTTATTCGTATTTGTATATAGCTGTGGTTTATGTGATTGTTCTAATATGACAAAGCAAACTAATTTTTGGGTGTAGCAATACCAACATAATTGCAATACTTCAAGTTTAAATAGCACAAATTCAGCACGGCGTTGGTTCACGTACCTAAAACGTAAGTCTATATATCAAATTAAGCAGGATTTAAGTATAACTTTTAGTATTTGGAATCACTGATCATAAATATTTGGAAATATCCGATTCAGCTGTATAGTCAAGTTAGTTCAAAAAGTAGTAAACTACAACAAAAATTTATTTTTATATTATTTTAATTAATTATATTTTTGGCTGACCATACATCTGTTTCGTGTATTGCCAAATACCCATTATCAGTGGTCTTGAAAATAATTCTTGTATTCGTAAATAATTTTTTGAGACTGCAAGTACCAAGAATCAAACTCGTGTCCTGCCAAATTTGAAACTCAGAGTCAGCGCTCCTTAACCAACTGACCCAAAGCCGTACTTGTTTTTTGTGTTCGCACATTTTTCTGGTGTTTTGATAATTCGCTGTGAAATTTTTATTAACAAATTCACTTGTTCTGTTTATATGAGAACGAAGTCATAAATTATTATTAATTAATAATAAAATTTCATTACTCTTTACCTCTTTCGTATATAAAAATATTAATTTGTTATTTCTGCAACAAAAAAAAAAAAGAACTAACCATTAATTTATAACGCTTTTCAAATTTCGCAACTTTAAAAAAGGTTTGCTTTATATCACTACATGCACTTCCAACGATACCAACACTTATGAATACATAATCCTTCAATAAATTTGCCGCCAACATTTGAACAGCGGTCGGGAATGTGGCGGAATACATAAGAATCTGAACGTTTTCCGGATTTAATATTGTTTTGTGTTTAATTAGAAACAAAATTTCGTCATAGAACCCTTGATCCAACAGTCTGTCCGCTTCATCGAGCACAAATGTTGTTGTACATTCAAATGATATATATTCACGACGGACAAAGTCAATTAATCGGCCTACCGTACAAATTAGGATATTTGCCCGTAGAACTAAGTTTTGCTGATATTTCGTTGATGTTCCACCATATAAAACCCTTGCTTCAAAATCGCAGTTGTATGCAAATTTAAGTGTTTCATTATAAATTTGAATAGCTAATTCGCGTGTTGGTGTGAGAATAACCACATTAGGTTTGCCAATATTAACCTTTGCTCCGAGCAATGAATCTACAAGGGGAATAAGATATGATGCCTATAAAAAAAATATAGAGAAAATATATTATTTATAAAATTTGACTTTAAAGCTATACTCACTGTTTTTCCAGAACCAGTTTGTGCACACGCTATTAAATCTCGTCCACTAGCCACAACTGGAATTGTAGTCTTTTGAATTGGAGTAGGCTTTGTGTATTTTGACCTGACTATATTATTGTACACGGCTTGATTTAAGCCTGCGTCACTGAAATCAGCAATAGGTCGAGGTACATTTTCTCCAGATGCCTTATATAAATGTTAGAAAAGTATATTTTAACTTAAATTAGCAATAAATTAAAATTTTACTATATAAAACCTGTATGGGTATGCTATCAAATTTTGCAAAATTCTTTCCAACAGTTACACCACTAGTAAATATAACCTTCTCATCTGTGCTTGGAGTTGGTGGTATATAAAACTCACGTACTCTGTCATCAAATATTCCGGATGCGACATTATCATTTTCTTCGTCCACTACATTATTAGATGACGTTAACCTTTATTCAATTGTATATTCATTATTATTTGTTATACTGACCTAAATAATATCTAGGCAAACTCTCTTCTTCAAATGTGGGATCGACAATTTGTTCTCCATATTGGTGCTCCTCGCTGGTTTTACCTAATTTAGTAAGTATTATTTTATTATCATCACCCTTATCATATCTAGTGGCAGTTTGAATGGCAGATGAAAAATTATCATAATTTACATCGTTTGAATTTTCTAGGTTATCCTTCAATAATGCAGATTCATCACTTCTCAATTCTTGGCGATCAGTGCCGCAAGAGATATTTTTAGAACTTTGTTTTTCTCCAGCATTATTACCACTTGATAAATTTTTACCACCAGATGTATTTTTCTCTAGATACGAACTTTGTTCGGGTGGTGGTTGATTTCCAGAATCTTTGAGTGATGAAAAATTTTAATTATAATATATATTTAAATAATAATTAAAATGTTTTAACTGTTGGTTTAAAATGATAAGGTATTATGATGGTAGGCCAACTGAGTCTACTGAAATTCGAATATGTGAGTCAAACATTTTAAGCGCCCATTTTATTTTACATATATTACTAATTTTTTAAGTTAATATTACAAACATATTTAAAGTAATTACAGCATAAATTTATTAGTAATTAAAAAGCTAATCAAAGTACATATTTATTAGTAAAAAATAAGAGTAGTTAGATCACATCAAAGATTTACAAAACTACACATATATATTCAATTTTTATTAGGTAATGAAATAATTTAAAAATATTAGTTAATGAAATAGTTTAAATAAATGATAACTAAAGAATTTTAAAAGTAAAGTAAAGTAAGAAAAAGTAATTAACAAGAAAATTTAGACAACAAAAGAATCTTTACATATTATATTAATTTTTTTAGTTAATATAACAAACATAAGTAAGCTAATTAAAGTACATATTTATTAGTAATAAATAAGAGTAGTTAGATCACATCAAAGATTTACAAAACTACACATATTTATTAAATTTTTATTAGTTAATGAAATAATTTATAAATATTAGTTAATGAAATAGTTTAAATAAAAGATAACTAAAGAATTTTAAAAGTAAAGTAAGTAAAGTAAAGTAAGAAAAAAGTAATTGATAAGAGGATTTAGACAACAAAAGAATCACACAACTTTATATATATGTTAAAATTTATTAAAGTATATATTTTATAGTAATGAATAATAGTTAGACAACAGAAGAATTACAAAACAACACATATATGTTCGATGTTGTATTAGTTATATTAGTAATTACATTAGTTAATGAAATAATTTAAAAATATAATCTAAAAAAATTTATTTATTAGTAATTAACAAAAGGAGTTAGAGAACAAAAGAATTACAAAAATAATAGATTTTAATGTAGTAATTTTGTTAGTAATTATACAACTGTAATAATTATTATATATTTTGAATTGAAATATGTATTGTAATTACTACAAAACTACGAAACAAAGGATAATGTTAATTTAAATATTTTATAAATAAGTGTAATAAAAGAATAACTTTATAAAACAGTAGAAATTATAAATTTAATATAATTAATTTAATTATATAGACACATAATATTATATAAAGCAATGTAAAAGATCAATTTATTTTAATGAAAATATATAACCATCGGTAGATAAATTAATCACATCTGCAGATTTAAGTTCCAATAAAAACGAAAATGCAATACTGGCCTCTAAACGGGTCTTTATTGACTTTATTTTATTAAGATCAACGTTTCTATTCATAATTATTTCCTTCAATATTATAAGTTTAATATGCAAATATAATTTATTTGCAGATATTATAATTGTAGGGTCATATCTATATGAAGGCTGCAAACATGAATGAATTGATTGCTTGTTCTTTATTATCATACGACGCCACATTTCAATGTTATCACTTAACACACAAATGTCATCATTATTTGCAATTAAAAATTCAGTATGTGGATCTACCGTCTCTTTATGAGAACTGATGATGGTTCTTATTGGGGTTCTGTGAACATTGCGAATTTTATCAATTACGCTTATTGAACGATTTTCATTGCTTTTATTGTTGTCATCAATCGAATTGATTTGATCAATAGTTGTTTTATTTTGACCTCTATTAGCAATCTCTCTTATGTTATTTAATTCACAATCATCCAAATCTTCGATACTGTTTTTTGAACTATTCGGTTTTTCTAAATGCGATTGCTGTAAGGATTTATGTTTATTATTTGCACTCACTTCGACTTCGATGTTGGGAAAAATAACATCATTAGCTAATTGACTATTAACATCAATGCCATTTGATAGATGCTGACGTGCTAAAAGTTGTCCAAACTCTAGTTGAGGTTCTTCAGTGCTACATAACATTTTCTGCTGTTGCTTTTTCTTCTTCTTTTTTTTCCGATATTTCGTTACTCCATCCACTGTATATTTAATATCCATTGCTCTCTCACGCATAACATCATACCAATTTTTATGATCCTGAAATGTTATATTACTAGCTATGTTTATTGTTTCAACATCTACTGTCATTACAGTATTTTTCTCATTACAGATCTTAAGTGGATCAGACTCCAAATTGAACACGTTTGGTTGGGATAAATTTGTTTCAGCTGCAGCATTTGCATCTTTATTATTTTTCTCAATATTATCATGTTCATACTCAATTATGTGGTTTAGAGATGTGTCTCCGCTCAAATGTTCAATTAGAGTACGTTCAGTTGGTCTGTACGGCGTCGAGGTAGTATCCAAAACATGTGACGATCGTTTTAAAAGAGTTCGACGAAAATTTTCCTCTTGAATGCTGGGTAATGTGCTCACACTTGTATATTTTCCATATATACGTGATTCAAAAGACATCTCAATCTGTGTTTTTTTGCTATTGTATAAAGTTCAATTAGGAATATATGCACAGATTTAATCTTCTAGACGCACTACACATGTAAACAGAGAATTTACAAATGCAAGCTTTTTAAAAAAAATAAAACAACTGAATACGAAAATGTAATTAAATATTTACAAGTTTATATATATACTTTACAAGTAATATATATACATATATATATTGGAACTTGTTATTGTTGAAAATGATTTGGAACAGTTCGGGCACACTTGAATCGTACAATAGACATCTTCGAACTACTTGAAGAAGTTATAGCCATTCGAAGATATGCGAGCTAAATGAAGATGTTCAAACATCTGCTTATGGTTTCATACAAATAGATATGTATAACAGCAATATCGTGTTAAAACATATTAGCTTTAATCAGCATATTAATATGTAAAGTTCTAATATATATACGTAACTATAATCAGTACAAAAAACTGTAGTTAAAATGTATATATTAGTAATATTATACCCCAGTAAGAATCATATACAGAAAAACTGTCTTTAGGCTTTATTACTAATATTATTCTAGAGTTTCTAGACTTAAATAAAAAATTATTGTGGGCACAAAAACTTGGCACATGGTGAACTTTCAGATGAGAAGCTTCGTTCCAGGAATGGCTAAATCTACGTCTAGTAACCAGTCGCCTGTACAGACAAATAAATTTCACTCATTTCTTTACTATTTACTATTGCAAGATTTTTATATAAATTCTTGCCTCTCTATATATTTTTTACATCGTGTAATGCGTCTAGGATAAGTGAAAACATCTTGAAACGAGCTCTTTTAGATCAAATATGATCAATTAAAGCCTATTGCCCATTAATTAAAATTTAATTCTGTGACTTTAAGAACAATATTAGGCCACTTCGTTTAAAGACGTTATAGAAGAATCAACAAAATGTGATACCTGGAGGAATTATCAGTATTTATTGTGGGGGTTACAAAGTTAATGTCAGTATTAGCATCGGAACCAGGCAGCAGTGAGGGAGCAGTTAATTGTTTTTGTGTGATATTACTTCCTGTTAAATTTTCACGTGCCATTATCCCTAAACTGGACCCTGACACGGAAGAAAACAACTTTTTTGTGTCTGTTGTCATACTGGATAATTTAAGATTACTCTTTTGGGCAAGTAATGTTTTATTCCATGAAAAGAAATCATATTTACTATCCCCCTCAAATTTATTATTTATTATTAAATTTGTTGGCATTTGGTGTAATGTTTTTTTGGAGCGACGACATCGAAGTCTAAGTTCCTTTTCAGTAATAATTTGTTGTTGTTTTGATAGTGAAGACACGGAAGGACCTTTCAGTGTTTGAAGTTTTGTTTCTTCTCTTAGTTGCTCATTAGTATTGTTTTGTGGTCGCCTTGATTGTAACAATACAGAAGATTCTTGCAATGTTTGAGTTATTCTTTTTTTTCTTAGTTCTACTTCAGTATTATTTTTTTGGCGATTTGACGGTGATAACACAGAGAACTCTTGCAATGTTTGAGTTATTCTTTCTTTTCTTGCTTCTACTTCAGTATTAGTTTTTTGTCGTTTTGATGGTGAAAACACAAAAAACTCTTGCAATGTTTGAGCACTCCTTTCTTTTCTTACTTCTACTTCAGTATTAGTTTTTTGTCGTTTTGATGGTGAAAATACAAAGGACTCTTGCAATGTTTGAGCACTCCTTTCTTTTCTTAGTTCCACTTCAGTGTTATTTTTTTGTCGCTTTGATGATGAAGACACAGAGGACTCTTGTAATGTTTGAGTTCTCTTTTCTTTTCTTAGTTCCACTTCAGTGTTATTTTTTTTTCGCTTTGATGATGAAGACACAGAGGATTCTTGTAATGTTTCATTTCTCCTTTCCCTTATTAGTTGCTCCTCGGTAGTAATGTATTCTTGTCGATTTGATAGTGTAGACACTGAAAGTGCATAAGGCTCTTGTAATGAGTCGCGATGAATTAATTGATTTTGAATATTCGTTATTGCAGAATCATTATCTTCAGTGTTTATAGAACGAAATATTTTCTTTTTCAATATATTAACACATTTGAATATATAATTATTAATTTCTTTTTCATCAATATGCCAAATATGATACACATTTCTTCTCAGAAGTAAATTTTGGGGTTTTTTCTGTTCAAGTGATTTATTCATTTTTTTAGGTGAACTACCGTATTCATTTAAACAAACATTATACGCCTTAACTAAATAATTAATTATGCAGAACATTTCCATTGTATTAAATCTTTCAAGATTTTTCATCAGTATATCAACAAATCTTTCTATTTCTTTGAAATCACCTAAAGTTCGAACGTCAACAATGTTGCTATTATCAATCTCTTCAATATGTCCAATATCTTCACTATCTTCCGTTTCTAAAACTGAAAAATAGATTTAAGCAATAAACCCCTTAAAACTTATATTGTCGAACAATTTGTCTAGTGTTCATTTTGTATTCAGACTTGTAGACACTTGAAACTGAACTAAACCCAATAAATCAATCAGTATACATATAGTACATACATACAATAATTGATTTTGAAAAGTTCAGTTCTGTGTATGGGTCATTCTTTTACAAATCGGGTAGATTTTGGCAAAAAATGACCTCATCACCTCCGACTTAACGCACGCCTTGAATATCTTAATCTTCGTTTCTAGACGAATATCGGTCAAATGTCAAATATATCTATGCTTAGCATAAGCTATACGGCCTTTTTGGATACGACTTTTAACATCCGGGGGACGTAAGGCATCCTTGTCTGAAACCGTCGAAGTTCAATCAAGTATCTTTAAAACGCAATAAATTTCAAGTTTCTATCATTTATGAAGCCAGAGATATGACCGTCTAAAAATGCATCTACACTGCCAATTCTGAAAACCTCATTGGTCCACATTTACTAGGAAAAAATTTCAAAATTTATGCCAAAATAAAGGTCTTTTAATTTTATAAAAGCTCATAAAAAAAAAAAATCAGCTAAATCGAAGATGCTGACGTCATAAAGGTGTCCGATTTGTATAAGAATGACTCATATTTAATATTATATATAAGAATTATTTACAAGTTGTTAGTAGTTAAGATGATGAAATGAAATGAAATTATAAAAAATTAATGTTACAACATTCATTATTTAACATATACAAACATCTTACCAGAAGAACGCCGCAAACCGGAAGAACTTGGTTGTTGATCATCATCCTATTTTTTTGTATTTAATTTTATTTATTAATTTTTATGCAATATTATTAAAATTATAATGCTCACTTACTTTAGGCACTCCTTCTTTACCGCTGTTCCGACTCCTACTCATTGTGTTGTTCCTTTGTTAGTTTATTAAACTAGAATTATTCAAATAGTAAAGGTTAAAGACATTTTTAAATCAATATTATTATAATTACAATAAAAGATACGATCGAAAATATAGAAATTTTTTGTGTAAGTGCTTATTCGTCTTTTTTGGTAAGAGACGAAGTTCTGTATCTTATAGCGAAATAGCACGATTTAAAACTTGTAGATTTTTATATGCCTACTAAAATCACGGTAACATCTATTGACAAGAATAATTCCTTATTGCATCTATAGAAGCTATGAATACTTAGATAATTTTTCCATACGACTTAAATTAGATAAAGCATTAACTGATCTCCTTTTTTAAGAATTTGCTAAAATATAAGCAGATAAGTACCAAAAAATTCTGTAAAATTTATTTTCATAATAATTATTCAGTCTAAATAAATACTAATTACTAGGTATAATCATTCTATCCAGTATTTAGTAATAAAACCAGACGATTTTATTCGAATAAATGAGAGAAATCTTTTAATGCTTTTCCATACGAGTAATGTAAATCATAATAATTTTGGAACTATTATTATAGAAATTATATTGTTGCTATATCCCGCAAGAATTCGTAAATCAGATAGCATGAAAGTAATTACAAGATAATTATATGGGTTATTAGTCACTATTAAAGAGACATACAAACTAATTCACTTCACCCCTTAACTAACACTGTACAACTTTCTCCCATTCAACCGTTGGATGGGACATTATGGAATGTCCTGATTGCAATAATAAACAAGTGTAAAACAAGTGTAGCAAACCGATTACAAAAAAAAAAAACAATAAATGAACGTCATATAGCTCGTTAACAAATGAAGACAGTTCCAGGAACGGCCGGGTCTACGTCCCGAAGCCACTCGTCAAAGACGACCAAGTGCTGTTCAACATTCCCCCAAACAGGTCGTACAAGCAGATCCCAGCGGGCTACAACAACAACAAATAAAGGATATTATACTGGAACAAAAGCCTACCAAAATGACATACTACAATAGCAATATGTGTGTGAATCTCAATCCAAACCATAAAATCCTATTCTATTAGCAAGTAACTGTTTACTTTAAACTAATCACGCAAGCCTTAGACATTTTAACACCATATTACAAATACAAGCTTTGACTCTAGTTGACTCTTTAAAGACTTTTCAAGTCGATAACCGCTTAGATATATTGCTATTAAAAATAAAACCCTTAAAAGCACTTCATAGGTAACAATGGGATTCATGAAGCTAAACTTTATAATCATTAACAATTATGACTCCACAAATGGACCTTTAAAGATTATGCACAAATCTTATATAGTATGCTTAAAACTTTGAAATGACAATGCTAAATTGCACACTTCCTATAAGAAGAAATAATAAATATATTTTAATAATAAAATAATATGTTCTTCTTACTTACAATAAGACTAGAAAATGTATTACGTTACTTTCTTTTAAAAAGTTATCACAACGGTTCCCCAATTGACGTGAGGCCCATGGCTTTGGAACTGTCATCACAACATAGCTTACACAAATTCTACTCAGAGCAAATTCAACGTAAAATATATTTCACAGCACAATATTTAATTTATAAATATGCGTATATCTGTTTAAATTTTATGCAATTATTATTTAATACAAATAACGCTCAACATTGGACGGCGAACTAAAAATTTACATTCAAACCGCCCATAAATAATTTTATTTCCTATTTAAACTTCATTTGTTGTTGATTCTTTGTTATGCTGCTTTTTCAGATTCTTATTTCTCATGCTTTGTTGTTGTGTTGTTTATGTTCAGAATTGAATTGACATAATGTGACAATTGAGCAAGTTGTCAAAGTCACACGCATAATGTAAATGTGAATTATAGACCAAAATTTTATTTTTAATCAAATAAGTTTTATCTTTCAATTTAAATTTTATAAATATATAAAATTAAAAAGTCAGAAAAAATATATTACAAAAAAAGCAAATTTCAATTTTCATTCATTCCATTTTTCTTGTTAGAAAACAATTGTCTGAACACTGCGTTATCGTTGAATTTTATTGAACAGAGCTCGAAACTGTCATTAATTCTTTTCTTCTTTATATGTATACCATGCATGTTGGGCATGTGTTCTAACTTCTTTGGCTTTTGTGCTGAACGCAGAGGTTACTATAAGTGAGAAGGAAGCAGAAAATACTAAAGGTGAAAAAATTGAAAAGTGCAAACTGAAATAAATTAAATCGAAAAATGGATTTATCTGGTACTAATCGTTATGAACTACTGTTCATGGACGATGATATTAGTGATCCATTAGATAATACGGTTGTCAAGAATAAGAAACAGGTTAAGAACGCTAACAGTGGTGGCGGTAGCAATGGTGCTGGTGTAACACCCAAATCAACGAATAAACAAAATACCGATGCCAGTAGCAGAGCACAACCTAACAAAAAGTTGACTAATTTTGAGAAGGAAAACAAATCGCTTACATTGAATAAAAACGAAAACAAGAAAGTATCAAGCGGAAACGGTGCAATCAATGAAAAACAAAAGCAGCAAGGTGGAGTTGCCACTGCCACTGTTGGAGGTACTAATACTGGAAATCGTAAACGGAATAACGCCATACCACGCGAAAATGGAAATCAAGGACCAGTTAATACGATACGTAACAATCGTCGAAATTTCAAGGAAAATGGTTTTAATAACGCAACTGGAGGCGATGATTCAACTCAACAGATCCGTCAATTCCGAACAGATCGGGACCGTGAAAATCGCGGACCACCACGTACTAGAAATTTTGAGGGTGGAAATCGTAATGGCAAACGTGAATTTGATCGTCAATCTGGATCTGACAAAACTGGTAAGTGTAGTTTTAATCTTAAGTATAACTATACACTGAAAAAAGTAAGACAAATCTTTGTCTTGTGTAATTATAATATAACATTCTTTGCTGATTCAATATATTATTGTTATTATTGTTTGCTGATTCAATATATTATTGCTTTTAAGGTCTTTTTTTCATAAAAATTGATATTTGTTAGTTTTTATATTTGCCTTTTTTCTTCCTAATATGTATATAATATTAAAAATCTTCTAAAATAGGTATTAAAGCAATTAATAAACGTGATGGCGCTGGCGCACATAATTGGGGTTCTGTAAAGGAAGCAATCGATGACGTTAATAAGAACGATGTAGAAGCTACTGGCACCGGTGTCGAAAAGTCCGATGAAATATTAACTGAGCAGGCTGATACTACACTGGTCGAAGAGGAAACAAAGGAATTGACATTAGACGAATGGAAAGCACAGAAGCAGCAACGGGTAAAACCAACTTTCAATATACGTAAAGCTGGCGAAGGTAAGCTAATCTAAGAAAAAAAATAATTAAAGGTCTATGGAAATAAATCATTACAATAAAATGCATTTAATAGGCGAAGATACATCTCAGTGGAAAAAAATGATTGTATTAAATAACAATAAGAGGAAAGAAAACGAAAGCGAAGAAGAACTCGAATTTGACCCCGCCATGTATCCCCAACGTGTTGGTCGTCAACAACGTGTACTTGATATTCAATTCAATTTTAATGATGGACGTCGTGGTGGTGGTGGTTTTGGTGGTCGCGGTCGTGGCCGTGGTCCACGTCCAGGTAATTCAAACTTAAATAGTGCGTCTGGGGCTAACATTGAAAAACCTAATGTGCGTGGGTTTGAAGGCAACTATCGTGGGGCTGCTGGGCGTGGAGGAAAACGCCACTTTGTTTCTGATAGACAACAACAAAATGCAGCACCAAAAGTAAACGATGAACGTCAATTTCCGACATTGGCTTAAACGCCATCAAATCAAAGATTCATAATAAAACAACAACTAAAAGCCAAATACCCGTATTAAAAGAAAGCTTCAAAAATCATAAAAAAGCAAAGAAACAAATTTAAACCTAAGCAAATCATTCAAGAATATTAGAAAAAAGTTTCATTTTGATATTCACTAAGACAGAACTCTTATTCAATTTAAAAAATTCAAAAAGTTCTGACAATTCAATTACAAATTAAAGAAATTCATGCTTACCTAATAAGCATAATAAATTATTTAAAAATTCTGGCAACCAAAATTTGTAACTTAACAACAAATTATCGGAGCATAAAAATTAACAAATCCATTTCATTAGATTGCAAAACTATTAAATAGCGCATATATTTGCACATAAAATGTATTTTAAAATGTTATATTTTGGAATTTAAACATTCAAAAAAGAATCTATATTTTTATTAATTCTTTTAGTTAATTTACAAACATTTGCAACAATTATAGTTATATGCATCACAATAAGCCATCAGCAAAAACACTCATAATACCAAAATAATATATAAAAATTAAATTCAACGATCATCACAATTTTGTTAATTTTTTTTCTTTGCTATATTTAATTTAAATATAATTTTAAATCTTCTACACACATGAACACATACGCATGTATATTTATATATATTGACATGTATGTGTATATTTATATAACTATAAATATGAATATCTATAAATACAAACACATACACATGTAACACAATATGTATACATATATTATTCTATTTATCTAATATATATATATATATATATTTGTATACATATATATCTAAGAATTTATATATAAATATATATATATATATATCTAAGAATATATCTATAAATATATATATATATATATCTAAGAATATATCTATAAATATATATATATCTATAAATATATCTATATATATTTATGAATCTGTTTATATATATCTATAAATCTGTCTATATATATCTATAAATATATCTATATATATTTATGAATCTGTTTATATATATCTATAAATCTGTCTATATATATCTATAAATATGTCTATATATATCTATAAATTTATCTATATGTATCTATAAATCTGTCTATATATATAAATCTGTCTATATGTATCTATAAATCTGTCTATATATATCTATAAATCTATATATATGTATTTATAAAATGTCTATATATATCCATAAATCTGTTTGTATATATCTATAAATCTGTAAATATGTCTATATATAACTATAAATCTATCTATATGTATCTATAAATCTATCTATATATATCCATAAATATATATATTTCTAAGAATATATGTATAAATATATATATTTCTAAGAATATATGTATAAATATATATATTTCTAAGAATATATATATAAATATATATATTTTTAAGAATATGGGTAAAATATATATATATAACTAAGAATATATGTATAAATATAAATATATAACTAAGAAATTATGTATAAATATATATATATCTAAGAATATATGTATAAATATATATATATATTCATAGATAATATTTATCTAATATTATCTATATATTTATATATTAAATATATATAAATACGTAATATATATACTTAACATATATATCTTATACATACAGCCGTTAATACATCTATAAATGCATATGTATTGTATATGTTTATTATATAGATATATATATTTAAAGTGAATAAATATATTTTAATATATATATATATATGTAGATATGTATTTAAAAACATATATATAAATATATATTTTTAATATAAATATGTACATATATATATATAATTTATAAACGAATAAAAATATATATATATATTTTTTCTTATTTATATATACATATATTTATATATATGTATCTATAGATAAAAAATAACAGAAATAAAATGAAACAGAGAGTGAAAATTTTATAAGTTTTCACTTTTAAAACATTTTGCATATCTAACTGGAGGGTAGATGAACAAAATGAAATATTTAAATAAATAAAAACATTCACTTATTATTTATTAGAAGGAAAATCATAATCTCAAGATGGTTTTTAAATATATTTTGTCTTTAAAAATGCTAACAACTAGAAATTGTAAAATATACTAAACTGAAAATTGTAATAAAAATTTTTAAAATGTATTTTGACCCAAAGATGTTTGAAAATCGTTTAAATAAAAATTTATTTGATAAAAGTAATCATATAGTATTATTAAAAATAACTATCTAGCTGGGAAAATATATATTTTGATTACATTTTTATATTTTGAAAAGATATGACGACTGGAAAATGAAGCTAGCAATCATCACATTTCTAGTTTTGAAATCCGTTAACTTCTTTATGTAAAATTCTTTAATAAAAACTTATTAATTTTTATTTTTATCCAAATGAATATTATAGTTCGAAGTATCTTTCAGATCTACTATATATATTATATACTAACGTTATTATACGAAACACAAGTGTTTACTCTAGACATTACCAATTTTAAGTAAACCAGCACATCACATGGACAGACCTACAGTTCGTTTTAAGCAGAACGAATCAGTTTCCGCCACATTTTTCATTACACAAATAAAGTCACACTTCCATAAATAATAGGTGTAAAATGTAAATGGAAATGAAATGGAATGCAGGTCTTACAGGCTGGAATCATAATTTTATTAAGAAATTCAAAGTCTGCATCTCAATTAAAGCATCCAAACTTGTAGCGGATTTAACTAATTTAACAGATACAAGTTATTCGAATTTTTGTACTATATACTTTTATAAGCAATTCTTCTATGATGTACGTCGCCAGGAACGAGCACTGGAACTGGGGTATTACCTTATAACCCCAGTTACAGCTCTCATTTTAAAAAATAGCATTTTGGTAATAAAATACAAATTTATTACAGTAAAGTAACAGTCTATCCATATAATGAAAATGCATTGAGTACAGAATTAATCAGAATTTTTTAAGTGGAATATGATAATATCGATATCCATTATTCTGCGGCAACATATTTTATAAAAAGTACTGAAGTACTGTGTTACTTATATAAATCAAGTACATGATAGCTGAATGCTATGCTCTTCGTGCATTATCATATATTGTACTGTCCATGATATGCGTGCTATATCGAACCATTTTGAAAATCTAATTAGCCTAGACGTTACCCTTAAAAACTATACTGAAATGTAATTTGCTGTTGAAAATTGGAGAACAATACATCAAACTGTATGTCCAACAGAAAATCGCCAACTACAATTGAATTTACCTACAGAATATTTCACTACAGAAAAACTGGCAAGACCCAAAACCAGGCTTATAATAAACTTTAATAGATGTACTAGGTCTGAATTTAAGAATTAAGCCTACAGCAAACTACATGAGCTTTGTGGACCTATTTTTGGCAGACGATAAATAGAGTCTATGCAAAGAAAAGTGCTGTAATTATTGATCATAACAGCAATCATTACAGATTTGAAAAGGAGAAATCTGGAGCTTTTGCTAGGTGTTCCCATATTACCATATAACATCCGCCGAAGGCAATTTGCTAACTTTTTTAATTCATCCTGCTAATAAGCCTAACAAATGACAATTCTATTAATATCAACATTATTAATATTAGTTGTTGCCATACGAAAAATATTTTATTTTTAATATAATGAATAACGGCACTGGATACTAGTTTTTTGAACCAATTGTACAAAGAAATATATACTGAGGTCTTTGTCAATTAAGTAAATTAACGAGAAGTGTAATAAATTATTTCAAACATTTTAATTCATTTATTTGATAACCTATAGAAATAAAATAATGTAATAATACAACAATAAAACAAAGAAAAATTTACCTAATTGTGGTAGATTAACAACATATCGAGGGGCACAAGAGGTTCAAGGGTAGTGCTTTTGACAGTCCTGGACTAGACCATTATCCAAATTAAATGAAATGTGCACAAATGATAATAAAAACAAACAAACTAGAAAACTACAATAAAACAAAGAAAAATTTACCTAATTGTGGTAGATTAACAACATATCGAGGGGCACAAGAGGTTCAAGGGTAGTGCTTTTGACAGTCCTGGACTAGACCATTATCCAAATTAAATGAAATGTGCACAAATGATAATAAAAACAAACAAACTAGAAAACAGCGTCATCATACTGCTTAATAGTAGTAATAAAGAATGTATTTGAAAATACATTTAAAACGATTGTTCTCGGTTTTATATTAAATGTTATTATACTAAAACATCAAAAAATACATAAAGAATAGAGCCCTGAAATTATTTACGAAAACTGACAGACTTACCAACACCGCGTTATCAAATCTCAGAATGGTTACAGATTCCTTGGGGAGGTATGCAGATCTGAGGTCAATTATTGCTTAGTCTGATGCAGTGATAAACAATAATCCAGTCAAGGCGTAAAGAGGGGTTTTGAAAATACCTCGAGTAAAGAAAGAGTAAAAGTGCTCAAGTGCACTGGCTCAAATAGCTTCAACATAATAATTAGTTTGAGTTCAAAAAAGGCCACCGAAGGAAGAACCTGAGTCGCACTAACAAAAAATTAATAATATAAGAGATTCATTTGAGAAAACACATCATGGCAAGCGATTGATATAGCTTAACATGTAAGTTTTCTTGTTAACAAGCTACTTTTTAGTTCTAAAGACTTAGTAGCCGATACTTTTATGTATAACATCAAAGTGTACCTTAATATCATTTCTGGAGTTCTACGAGAAAGTTAACTTGGCCCTATGTTCTATATACATATATGTGGACGATACAACAATGTATCGTTTGTATCAATTGGTGAAACTTCAGCTCAAGTATATCAATGTGTACAGGTTCGACTATATTAAGTAATGAATTATTATTGAAATGAAGTCCACAATTAAGACCACACTGGAAGAGTCTGTGAAATATCTGGGAATACCTTTGAACAGCACTTTTACTCACAGAAATCATATACATATCAAACGGTTGCAGACCACACGAAAAAGGAAAAAACGACTAGGTTGCCTATCATTCATCTATAGCATACCACCGCTACGTAACTCATCTTCAATTGGGAATATTTTTAACATGTCTCAAAATCTTAATATAATTTCTTTGATAAAATTACATATTACTAATATCATCGACGTTGGTATGAGAATAGGACAGACTAGCTATTAAAGCAGCCTATACCGATCCATTGATACAAATAAAAGGTAATTTATTCAATGTTTACATTCAATCCGCTACGCATAAAGCTATAGCCAATCCGATTGCTTTTATGGAAGGTGTAAAATGGATTATATAAATAAAAGGTTTCTTTAAAGAAGATTATTGATTTAGCTTACATATATCATAACTTAGTCCTCAACAACAATGAAGCACCACTAAGCAAAAGCTCTACATTCCACATTCAAGAAAATTTCAAAAAAATTTTCTGTAAAAATACGCAAAATGACGCAGAATAATAATTGATATTTTAAGTTCAACAATATCCAGTATTTCATCAGTACGAGAAAACTCCCAGATCATTCATAATTATTTACTTTCTTATATATAATATTAGAAAGTAATAAGAAAGTAAATTTATTAAATAAACTAAGACAAATCTGAATTCATCTCTATCAAAGCCCCTTTTTTCTATTGAAAATTAATACAATTAAAAGACGACAAATGTCAATCAAAGTAATATATAGAATTCAAAGTGATAGAATTAAATTTTAGACTTTTTATTAAATCCTGCTTAAGGAAGCATTAGGTCAAGAAATATTGTTAAGTAAATATAGCAACAAATAATTTACATACATATACATATTTACAATATACTCCAAGAACAACTGAGTCTTTGTTTTGGAGGCACTCATCAAGATCGACGACTAAGTGCCATTCAGCACTTGGAAGTACGCAGGTAGATCTTGGCGGTCGATTACAACAATGTATATGTATGTACATGGAAATCGAGAAACATCGTTCCAAAAGACTTTCATCATAAGTTTCATTCATCTGGCTTAAACGGTAATCGCATAAAGTCAGCCTGTCGATGTTACCCACAATAAATTTTCAGGATTATTCCCAAATATATACAGCAAGACTGCTAACCAAATACAAGTAACAATTTCTTAACGTAAAGTCCCCACACGACTAAGTAAGAAGAAAATAGGGTTAGGACATGTAAATAATGATTCATCATGTATTTGGACAAATATTATTTTATACATACATATGTATGTATGTACATACTTAATTATGGATTGCTTTCGGGTCTTGAGCGTATTTGTGTTTAATAATAATTATATTTCAATTATAATATTGACATTTATATTAAGTTTAAAATTATTATATACTAAATAAACTCACTTGCCTTATATTTTATTAAAATAACTATTATCTTAATTCACACTACACCGCACGCGCGCCAGAAACTGTTCAAAGCGCATTAAAAACCGTTATAAGAAGTACGATAAAAGAAAATGCAAACAGAGTTGAAGTTGAAGTTGAGTATCTGAAATAAGCCAGTGTTGAGAAATATAATTCGCATGAAGCGTTAAGGACGTGTGCGAGTTAGGCTAAGTTGCGTTCAAAATATCAAAATATATTCACAGCTGATACTAGCTGTCAAAATGTAACTCGCACACTTTTATCAACACGTATTAGCCTAACTTAGCCTAACTCGCACACGACCTAAATGAGAAAAATTCTAAGTTGTGCCGATAATGTAGTGATGTGTCGATACGTGTTGATAAATGGCTAAATGTGTGCAGTGCAAAAAATCCCAAAAAATCTCCCCTTTGGTTTAGCATCAACTTAGCCTAACTCGCACACGTCCTAAAGATGTATTATGTTCTGGAAGTCCAATTAAAGCTTATGAAAACTCAACAAAAGCATAAATTAAAGGTTTTTTTATATTTTATAACAACAACGATTAATTCTAAAGTGTTTTATCATCAGTTGTACTAAACTAAATGATTCACTTAAATAGAAAAGACTAGAATTGGTCAAATAACAAGTGTGGTATTCTACCAAGATAGTGTAACACCCCATATGAGTATGGTAGGTCACCAAAAGCTTGGATATACTACCAATTTTTCTCCATATTATTTTAATTATTATCGGAAACCTTCTGACGGTTACTAAGTGTCTCGTCTTTTTCAAGCAGTAAAACTTTTGCTTCTAATACGGAGTTATGCTACTACCATAAAGATGACTAAAGGTGTTGAACTAAAATAAACAATCTATTACAATAATAAAGCGAAAACAAACAAAAAAGAATATTATATAAATTTTATAAAGAGGTTTTTTCGAACAGTATTGAACTACAACAACAAAAATTTTGTTTTTTATATTATTTTCATTAATTGAATTTTTGGCTGGCCATATAGCTGTTTCGAGTATTGCCAAATACCCATCATCAGTGGTCTTGGAAATATTTCTTGTATTTAATTATTCGTAAATAATTATTTTTGAGACTGCAAGTCCCAGGAATCGAACTCGGTTTTTATAAATTTTATATAAAAATATTTCAACTGTTATTTTAGATTAAAAAATAAATAAAAATCAAATTATTACAATACAAAATAAATGCAACACCAGAAAATGTATGGATTCATTATTTTTATTTGACAATTCCAAAAATTTGTTATTTTCGAAATTTGCTTTTTCATGTCACTCGCAACCATCTTTTTTATTTACTTTCCCCAGCACTGGCAGGCACGACTGCCACATTGCTTAAAAGGAGCATGAATTTAAATTAATTGACGACTTTCCGTGTAGTTGAATTGTATAGAATACAATTTCCAGCGATTGTAGCTTAATCGTGCGCAATACTTAAATATATATATAATGCATTTCCCCAACTATTTATGATATTTCTAGCTACCGTAGTTTAATCGTACATTGGGTATATTTTTAAATTGTATATGCGATTAATTTTAACTACACAACTGTTGCCTTAGTTGCGATAGTGTAAACGTACTATTATAAGCATATGTAGTTTTCTATACAGATTATTGGTTATTAATCAGACACACTATTTTTATTAAAAAGATAATACAGTGATAATATATTTTTTATCCTTAAATTTTATTCTTTCAATGAATATGAATGAAATGATTATAATCAGAAATAAAAAATAATCATCATATATATAGCCGGTGTTTTATATCATTGATATTCAGTTGAGTTTGATTTTAATTAATTTAATGTTTTTGATACATGTATAATCCGTTTATACCAAAAATTAACTCTAGAATATTCGTAAAGTACGTTTAATGTATGTTTATAAGTTTTATAGAATAAATATGCATATAAAATGTTTAAAAAAAACATATTTTTATCATTTAAATTTATTTAAATAATTTTCTTATTAATATTTATACTGTTTTATAAATTAATTTCCTTGTAATACTTAACAAAGTAAAATTTTTTATTTGATTAAAACACTAAAAAATGACGTAATGTTGGTTTCGTTCTTATTGTTTTGATTATAAATGTTTTTAATATATCAGAAACATTTGTCTAATTACAAACATTTATGTAATAATTATTACATATAAATGTATTTATATACTGTTATAATTTATAACATTTTTCTATATAGTCATATTCTTCTTCTTCATTTATAATTAAATTATAAATTATTGTATGTGTGTATAACAGCGGTGTAACGAAAGGGAGTAGCTCTACCCCATGCACTACGAATAGAAAGGCGCTAAAAGGGCTCCAATGCATTTTATATATCTTGGAATATTTCAATTTGTATTTTAATCAATTTCTACAAAATATATTTTAAATTAATAATTTTTCCATAAATATTGGTATCGATATCAATTATATTTAATTTAAGAAAAAATTAAAATCATTTGTTTAGTTGAATTCCGAATAAATAAATGATTTTAATTTTTTTGGAATTTAAAAGTTGAAATAAGTTATTTTCTTTTTTTAGTATTATTTAAAGGTTACAAAAACGATCCAAAGTCCGAGTTAAAAAGCTTATATTAATAATCTTTTAAAATTTATAAATTACATATGAATACATGTTTTTGACGGGAGTATGTCAAATAGGTATGGAGCTTGGGCACCAGTTATGCTCGCTACGCCACTGATATATATATATATATGTAAAATATGTATAAAATTATATAATACATGTGCTATATCATATACACATATAAATATGAGCTTATTATTACTGATACAGATATTATACATATAATACATAAATAATACACTTTTGTAATTGAAATGTTCATATATATATGTATGAAATTTTACTCTAACATATTGACTAAATTGTATTATGGCGTTTTAGTTCCTGTATTAAGATATTGATATATAAAAAGTTCACAAACTTAATATAAATAATAAAACAAATATTATATCTCCATTAATAGAGATTTTTAGATATAAGGAAACGATTATTGTAGGTATATTTATCTTGATGTTGTCACACACTGTATTATTCAATCAGTTAATTAATGCACAAATGAAATATAGTATATAATAAAATAATACTTTTGTTATAAACTGAATTAAATTAATTTTGTGGTGCACATTATTATTATTCTAAGAGCTATTATATTATATTTATATCATTAATCATATTTTAATTATTTTTACCTAAAAAATTATTTAAAAAATTCTTATATGTATTATGTTAATTTCACTATGCAGTAAAAAAGTCAAAAGTGCTTATATTATTATAACCAGTCTTAAACATATTTATAAACTTTTGTAATTTATGAATTCAATCATTTAATTCCTTTAGTATGGCAACCCTTTGACCATTCCGATAAATTGCTTCTTAATTCCTTTTAAATTTTATTTTGTTGGTACCGCCGTTTCAGTTTAAGTTGTATATATGTACTTCTTAGCGTCCTGAGAGGTAATGCAATAATTTAATTAGCACCAATATGCAGATCCAATATCCATTTGTTTTCCACTTTATTAATTTTTTCTAGAAAACGGAAATGTATAAATTCAACTCTGAATGACAACATCATTTTAAGACGCTTTGGCAAATTGAATTACAGAACTCATGCGCATAACTTTTATGCCATTCTCGCTATTATTTGCAGTTCCGTTACTAATATTAATATTATTAATGTCTGGATCACTGTTGTTTATACTTTTGCGCGTGTGTGATTGTAATTTATGATTTTGCTGAGCTTCCAATGCCATAGCAGCTTCTGTCGGATCCTCGTTCATGTAGAGTTTGCGTTTGCGTAATGGCAGTGTCATAATATCTCGATCAGCCATCATCATTGAGTCACTTTCAGGCGACGATGAACGCTCAGGTGATTCAGTAGAGGAACGAAGTGGTGCAATAGCAGCTTCAACTTGTCTTACAATAATTTCATTATTTAGCAACGAAGACCTGAAATAAAAATATTTAAAATTTTATATGTAATATTATTGTATATATGTATATGTAATTATTATATGTAATACATAATTACAAATAATCATAATACAAAGTATGATCAAGTAATTATATAGTTATAAACAATATCTGATTCATATGATTATTTTAAAATTGTTAATAAAATAGTAAAAATAAATTCCATTCGCATACATAGCGATATATGAGTCGTATATATTACATGTCAAATTGTTTCTACCTCCGGTAAAAGTGATGTGCTAAAATACTCATTGATTTATTGATATCCATCTATCTGTCTGTTTGTCCATAAAGGTTTCAGATATACAATACTATGTTTTGAGCTTTTATATTATGTGCATCTTTTATAAATTATATACACTAACGAACATAATAATTGGCACAGCAAATATATTGAGCTTTAGCACTCTTTTTACTCCGTTAGTGAAGCGGCTTTTATTCAACAAAAAACTTTTTAGATAGAATGCTTAATTTCCTACTAAAATCATTTTATTTCATTATATTATCTATTATATTTAATTTCTTAAAAATAAAAAATAAAAAAAAGTACTAATTTAGGCTGAGCTTAGGGTGAAATTTTTGGCACATTTAGGTTCTATTTTGACATAATTTCATCCAAGACTTGGTTTATAAATGGCGTAGTACTTTAGAGTCTATCTAAAAACGTCATAATGACTAAAATATTAATAAACTTAATACATTGTATACAAAATGAGCAGTAAACATAAAGAAACTGTCGAATAGCAGCGGAAAATAATTCTATTGGGAAAATGATGGATAGAAGCCGCTACATCAATCGGAGCATTGTACAGCGTTCCCAGAGAGCGGCTCCATTGAAAAAACGCAAAGCACATAGACTCCGAGGGAATGTAAACGCACAAAAATAATAAGACCTTCAGATCATCCCAAAAATATCTTCAACCCAAAACGCAACCGAAGTTAAGCGAGAGTTTTGCAAGAATAATCATCGCACAACGGTCAGGAGTATATTGCATGAAACCAATTACAGTTGGCGTCTTGCTAGACGAAAATCATTTATTTTGTAGGTCAACCATCAGAAGCATTTACCCTATGCAAAGAAGTACTTAAGCAAAACAATCGACTTTCAGAACAATATTCTCTTCTCAGATGAAAGAAAATTTGCGATCTTTCGAACTAATGCCCGCCAAACAGCTTGAATAAAAGCAAACACCGAACTGCAAAAAAAAATAATTTTGCTATGTATGTGAAACATGGTGCTTATATGAAGGTGCATGTCCGCTGCAGTTGTCAGCGAATTGGAACTCATTGACGGCATTTTGGAAGAAAAATAATAATATTATATAGCAATCCTCAAAGAAATGTCAAAGAAAAAAAGTGTATAATTTTACTATATTTATAATACATAAATATTTAAATTTTCTTTATTTTCGTAGAGTTTCTAATAGTTTCCAATACTTTTTAATTTGTGGATAAAATTGACATGCTATAAGAACAAAAGGAGATAATAAAGATGAGTGAGCAAGAAATGTATATCCGGAATGTCGAACCGGAACCTAACCAAAAACCTTTGAACCGTTAAGCAAATCGGAACGGAAAAAATTCCCATTCGAAGCCCTGTCAAATAAAATGAAGTAAAAAATAGTGGATATAAGTAGAGTACATGTTAAATGGAATTCTGAGGAACAGAATCACAAATCAACTAAGTCGAAGTTTGTTTATTTTGTAAAACATGTTTTTTGAAAAATTAAAATCCACACCAGTAATCCACATCAGAAGTGTTATTTCCTTCACTATAATTATCAAAATATTTCCGATATAAAAACAGAAATTGTCGGCTGTGATGATATGGGAATTTTTGCTAATTGAACTACAATTAAAAAGTCCATCTGTATGACAAGCTATTCTACAGCATAAATAATAGTTTTCTTGCAAAAAGCATCTTCGGTTTTACGTGGACATGAAGTATAAGGTGTGGTACTCATCGTTCGTGCGTTAAGTGACGCTACTTTTTTAACATACCTCGTATATCATATTAGATTTATCTTTGTAATTATTTCATAGTGTATAAGATACACATATATGGAAAATATATATAATATATAACAAATTTATTAAAATTTTAACAGAATACAATCCATTTCATAATAGACAACTCTACTAAATTTTTAAATTTTTTTTAAACTAAGTGCATTAAAAATGGTTACAATATTATAATTAACTTACTCGAATTTTGGAACGGGCGCATAACGATTATTGAAACCATGTCTAGTAAATTCTCCACGTTTATAATGTTCTATCAGTTCCGTGTCTTCGTGAGTGTCATCATATTGGGTAAGATCCTGATTTATAAGTAATGCTTGATGGTGCTGTTTTTGTGAACGGTGTAACTGCATAATTTGAAGTGCTGCTTGTGTCACATCCTCTTCACGTGGTTCCAACATATCTCTACTGCTCGCAATTGAGGCTGCTTCTAACAAAGCAGGATTTATAGTTGGTGCACCAACTGGATTATTTTGAGAAATATGTATTTGATAATGCGATTGATTTTGGGCAATTGGTAGCACTGGTGATAATCGTACATATGAATTGTTCAAAATTTGTTGCTCATAATAATTCGTTGTCTGTTGGGTTTGTAATTGATGCGGTACACTTAGGTCCGTTGGTACTTCAAGAGCATTATTGTAGCTATCAGTGTTGCCAGTTCTAATTGAAAACTTTGTCGTTGATAAAAATTGACGATTATTACTAGTACCTGCAACGCTACTATCGTGACTTTGATGATCAGTCTCATAATTATTAGGCATTGTTGGTGACGCAACAGATGAAACGGGCGACCCCGCTGAAAGACGAGAAACTGATGCCAGTGATGAAGTTGATGAAAGTGTAGAACTTGGTGAACTGGGTGATAAAGGTTCTTTAGAAAGAGCAATAGCACCGTTGTCGTTTATCTTTGAACGAGATTGCTTTGTCTTTTTCACCTTTCCAACAACAGTATTTGATTTCATTGATTGCGGTGAACCCGGTTCTGAAGAACATTCCACACTAGAACTTCTGGATGAGGAACGCTGTGGCACATTTTTATGTGTATCGCTGCTACTTCTTATATCTTCCTCCTCCTCATCCGGCAATTCATTGGCATGTCCTTTTATATGTGCTTCCATTTCTTTCTTATTTTTGAATGTTTCGTCGCATATAGTACATTTGTAACATTTGGAACCATAATGTTGTACACGATGCAATTTTAAAACATGATTATAGCCAAAATCTCGAAAGCATATATCGCAATGGTATGGTTTTTCACCAGTGTGTGTACGCGAATGCACTTTTAGTTGTTTTGAACACGTAAACCCCTTACCGCATCCTTCAACTGGACATTTGTATGGTTTCTCTCCTGTATGTGTGCGCATGTGTATAACCAACTGTCCAGATTGTATAAATGTCTTCTCACAAACGGAACATTTGTGTGGCCGTTCGCCAGTGTGAATGCGCATGTGTCGATGTAATTTACCTGAATGCTCGAAGGCACGTCCGCAAACATCGCATTTGTACGGACGTTCTTTGGTATGTATACGTCGATGTACTTGAAGATTCTCTTTTACACTGAAAAGTTTATGACAGAACTCACATTCAAAAGGCCTTTCTCCAGTATGAGTTCTGTAATGACGAATCTATTTAAAGTAGATTAAAAAAAACATACATTTTCATTATAAACAAATATACTCTAGTAGATTGCATTAGAAACAAATTATTCAAATAGCAAGCTTTAAAAGTACAATGCGCTTTACGGCTTATGTGTTTTTTTTTGTATATATTAAACCGAAGCTCTATTTTTGTTCCTAATTGCCTATTTGCACTTACCAGTCTTGCAGGAACAGCAAAAGTCTTATGACATACATTGCACTGATAGGGGTCCGCACCAATCACTCCATTTGGGTATGGCTTAATTTGCGGTGTCTTTGGTATACCCAGCAGCAATCCACTCTCAGTTATATCACCTGCACCGCCATTACCGCTTATGATTAATTCTAAATTTTTGGCATGTGATTTAGTATGTGATGTGTGTGCCGATTTGCTGCCAAAAGTCATACCACATTGCTCACATTTAAATTGTGGTTTATTGGCTGAGGATTTGCGTCCCGGTTTCGTTGGTATGACTTCCACTGAGTTATTGCTAAAAATTGAACGGGGATTTTCAGAATTTGTATTATTGCTAATAATACAATTATCCGTGATGATCTGCGTTGATTGTGGCAGTAAATTTGCAACAGAACTGGGGTGCCCTTGTGTGGAAGATGTTGTTGCTGCTGCTGCTGCTGTTGTTGTTGTCGTATAGAAACTGATTTGTGGAGATCGCACTTCAGTTTTAATATTGGTTAAGTAAGATGAATTTGATTCACTGAAATTTTGAGTTTGTCCATTTATAATACTCGCTTGTGTTGATTGCTGTTGTTGTAATACAATGGCACACCCATTGTTGTCATTAATGGTGTAGTTGTGTGGAGTGGTTTGAAGTTGTGTTGACACGGTTGATACGGTATTTGGAGTTGATTGGAGAGGGCTGCAAAATTGTGCTTGACTAGGTTGTTCCGATTTTATAATAAGTGGAGTCGACTGGTAGTACACCATTTTGTTTTGAGATTCTAAAAAAGGGAATATATTAATATTTTTATATATCATTCGAAGTTATATAATTTTATAATATAAATTTAAAATTTAAAATTTAAAATATAAGAAACATTCAGACCAAACCTAATTTTTAATACATTTGTAGTTTACTAAATATTAAATTACCAGCATTCATTCTGAAAACCCCTATAGTAATATGGAATTTTTGTACAATTTGTCAGCACTGAAAATTGATTTAAAATATCAGAAAAAGGAAATACCATTTTTTTATTGGGATATTCCAGTTACTAATGAAATGAATATACATATTTTCAAAAATTTAACATATTCGGATTGGTTGTGATATTCAAATTTTAGATCACAAAAATAACTCAAATGAAAATAATCAGGAGAATATCAATGTAAGGAAGGTTCCGAAAGGATTTTGTACTTATTACTACCAGAAAAAAGGAAAAAAGTTTTATTTGAGCTTTGTCCATAGTTAAGTACCCTATCAATATGTATTAAAATACGCACTCCTTTTTAGCATTTAATTAATTGAAACTATATATACATATGTATATAATATTTTTGACGCTTTTTGATTCACAAAAAACTTGAAGTCTCAATAAAGAAAGTGGTGAAACTAATATTTCCATTGAAAGCACGAAGTTTGACCGACCTATGAAGTACCATTATCTAAGATGAAGTTGAACGAACAACTCAGAAATTCAACAGTGATGAAGTGGCCTTTAAAGAGAATCATTGTAATACACAAAAATGACGATGAATTTGTGGGACTTGTACACATAATAACCACAACTGGAATAAGTAAATGTCTTTCACATCAGTTGCTGTTAAGGTTTCTGGTTCAAGTACCGTTAATTCAATTATTAAGTTATTTTCAACTATGATATAACTATTTAAATATATATATAGTACAATAATTTTATGCATTTATAGATTTGAATAGATATCAGATAGACAAGGCGAATCGATTTAACGATGTTTGTTTTTCCTTCTATATATATGCCCGTCTGTCTATCAATCGATGTATCTGTGTGTTTATATATTACTATACAAACTAGTTATTCAACTTTTAATATATGACTGGTAGTACATGATGTTCAAAAAAGCGCGAAACTATAACTTAGATATGTTTACGATTTTCGAATACATTGGACCATATTACGTAGAGCACATAGAACAGCGATGCTACTGTGTTCAATTTCATACAGTTTTCGCCGTAAATGCGGCAAAGACCGGGAGTACTAATAAGTGAAATTTTGCATAGCAGTTTATTATGAATATATGTAGATGAAACTAATATATGCAATATGTTATCTATTACTAATAGCGCACATGCTAAATAGTAGTCAAAGAAAGTCAATATAATAATGTATAGTCAGTTTTTTCCCTTAACTATAAGTGTGTAGGATTTTAAGGCTTTTATCAAGTCAAAATTAGTTTAATATTCGATTTCATTATGTACTAATAGTTTAAGCCAACTTCTACAGTTCTGACCATATAGTTCCAAAATGATATTTATTACTACATATAAAATAAAAAGCTAATTTTGATTAAACCTATCTATAATATTAAAATTTAAATAATAATAAAATAAAAAGCTAATTTTGATTAAACCTATCCATAATATTAAATTTTAAATAATAATTTTAAATATAATAAAATTTTAATTATATTAAATGTAATAAACAGTTATATTATAGCATACCAGTTATAACTAATGATTAATATACAACGTACACCCCAACAGTACAAATTTATCTCCAAGAAATTCTTAGGATAACACATATTATATTCATTTCAAGTACATATCATACATACCATACAATAAAATTATAATTATTAATATAATTAGTTAAAACATTTAACTTAGTATGGACATAATTAAAAAAATTAAAATATTTTTGCTATACAAATTTTCGTTATAATTATTAAGTATATGTATATACATAAATGTAATATTATTATGTATAAATAATTAAAAGAAATAATAATCAAAGGATATATAATTATATTATATATGTATATTTTATATATATATATATTTTATTTTTTTATTATTTTTTATTTATTTTGTTGTATAAAAAGTTAAAAATAATAATAAAATATATTTCACATTTGTCAATGAAAAACAGAAGAAAAATAAAAGAGAGCGTGCAAGAGAGAAAGAGTAAATCATATATATATAATATCATAAAGTATGAGAAGGAAGACAGACAGTATTTCGATTTTCCAATATTGTACATGGGAAATGGGATCTACGAAGTGCCTAAATAAGTTTTTCATAAGTTTTCCTTAACAAAGAAGTGAAGCTCAGATTGTACACTTATTCCCCCTTATTTAGTAGTACTCAACAAACTTCACGGTTGTAGAAAGGGGGTGAAAATGCATAAGTGTACAGACCTGAATATTTGTTTTTTTTTTGTTAAAATTGAAATGTAAGGAAAAGCCATTCCTCAACTTATTTTCACAATTCGAGTACGAAGTTAGAAAATTGTTAGCGTACTTTGAAAGGTTCAAAAAAAATAGAGTACAGAGTATACATAAGAGTGTTCTTTTCAATCTCTCTTCATAGCAGTAAAGTTTAATGCGTAGAATAAATTTTCTAACCGGCATTTTCGGTTGAAATGAAAAAAACTTTCTCGAAAATAAAATAAAATAAAATTGAAGACAACGAATTAATAATATAAAAATAATAATCATTCGAATTGTATGAAAAAAACCAAAAAAAGAATATCAGATACTTCTTTTAATCTATACTGCACAGTATATTAAATTTTTCACACCTTTAGCACTTTTCTTGACCATCTTTCGTGTAGTGCCATTTCTTGTCGTAGAAGCCGTTAGGGGTATCTTATTATCCGCTGTGTGTGAGATTTCCATTAAATCCGCGCTCGGCTTTTTCCATTTCTGTTCTAATTGCCATTTAGCTTTAGATTCATTATTTGTTGACATTATTTACAGTTTTTTGGCGAAAATATTAGAATATAATTGATGGATATCAGAAGTGCAGTTTCTTTCAGTCTATAAAATCAGTCACATCGGTTAAAAGAGCGATGTCAGTCCAAAATATCTTAAATTCAGTCTTCAAAACGTTAATTTCTTTATTTGGTTTTTACATTGAAAATTTCGAATTTTTAATTTGCTTGGTTAAAAAATCTAATTATTAGTTAAAGATTTAGAAAAATATTTTATTAAAATTTTTTTCGATTTTATAATTAATTGTTTTTGTTAGAAATGAACAGTGTTTGTCTGTGTATACTCTTTATAGATAAATACATTACTTTTAATGTAACTACAATCTATATTAATACTTGTATATAAATTTTATATTAAAATCTTAGTTTTTTTTATTATTTTCTGTTTAATTACTTGTTTTTTTAATATTTTTAAAATTTTTTTTAAGTCTTTGTTTTGTTGAAAGTTCGCTTTGCAACCATTGCCTTTCAAATTTTTATTCATACGCATTTTTTTAAAAGACTTCAGGATTTCATTCATTTTATTAAATATCGACAACGATCGCTAACGCATTTATTATTATTATTATTATTATTAATTTTTACGATTTAAAATTACTAGAACTACACAAAAAAACTGTGAAAAAATTTCCAAAGCGAAGAGTAAACATCTTAAAACTTTTCACTCCTCGTCTTTATTAAGACGATTAAGAACTAGATTCCGTAGGCCCAATTTCAACCTGTGGTAGTGTGTAAAAGACTGACGGGTGATTTTCCAAAAACTCTGCTTCTAACCACCAAAAAATAACAATGACTTCACTCATACCAAAAACACTCCAAACAAATTTAATATTTTACATTGAACTAGAGAAAGCCCATGTAATTTCTGTCTTCAGATAAATTCTGTTATTTATTTATTCTATGTCAGTGGTGGGCACATGTGTATCTACCAACTTAATGTTGTATGTAGTGTACTGTGCGTAAAGAGCGGTGGGTCTATATGTTGCTTTATTAAAATAATCTATTAATCTCTAATAGATTATATTACATATAAAATAATCTATTTTATATATTTTATGAAGTTTATTAATCCAATTAAAATACATTTAATAAATAATTGACAAAAAGAATGAATAACCTATCAGTGCCCAGTGTTTTTCAGAGCGCATAGTCGTTGGTTTCACATAATACGCCGTTGGTTAGGTTTGCCCACCACTGTTCTAAATATCTGAGCGGAGAGAAGGGTGAGTGTGATTTAGATTTTCATATACTTTGTAGGCTCAAGAAAATTTTAATAAAAAAAATAGATAAATGAAAACACACTCACAAATAAGACTTTTCCAATTTCACTCATTTCACAAAAAAAAAAAAATTGAAAACTGACTCAAAGAACGGCACTTAAAAGCTGCCCTAATAAGGCAAATACTTAAATACTTATTTAGTTTTTACATATGATTCCTAATTCTGTACTTAATTATACCTTACATATACTATACTTTAATCAATATTATAGATGCAACTCCAGAATGTACAATCGAGAAAAAATTATCTTCATCTATCTAATAATGAAGAAATTCATATAGAATTTTTAATTCCAATTCACTTGTCACTATTGTAATTTTTTGATTTCATTAAAAAACCACCACTTCATCTGCATATATAATTTGTGTAGGGGAGGAATTGTCATGTAATGCCATATACATATGTATCGAATACTATAAATTGTTTCATTTAGGCATATAATTAACTATTTATTTTCAAGTAATTTACTTTATATAATTGAACATTTGTATCAATTCTCCAAACCCCATGAAATTAAATAATAAAAAAATATTTTCTTCTAGAAATACTTTGTTCCTCTCTGCAACACTCTGTATTATCCCAGGTCTGAATAACTGTTAAAAAGCACAACAAGGCAACAACAAAGTTATGGTAGATCAACTAATAGAACATAATAACCTCGGTTAACATCTCAACAAGATGTGTATTTCTAAGATAATAGTATGTCGTCTCTACTTGCTAGAAAATGAAATTACTAATCACAATCTTTA